CTCAGCAACTTCTCCTCAATCCAAGGAGTCCTCTTGGATTTCTCTTCCCCATGCCATGACTAGAAACTAGCAATATGGTTCACTTTGTGTATTTCCAGGTCTCGTGGATCATTGCCCTTTATTGCCAGATGTCTGATATCTTGAAAATGTTTACTTCGTATATTTTGTCCATTTGGGGTCTGTTTTAAACAGGAGGGTATATTCAGTGCCTCATCTTGGTCAGATGTGAAATGCATCTTAAACAGTCCCTCAAATATGGCCAGATGAACATTCTGTCATTCCTGGGATTCTCAGTAAGTTTTAATAAAGACTGGGAGATGATAGCTCTACTGGCCACAGAATACCTAAGGCTCATTCCTGGGTATTCTTTGTGACTTTTCCACCTTAAAACTCCATGGTGTTCACTTTAATACATTTTCATTTAAATGAAAATATGTCTGTAAAGATAACTAATTCATGCACATCCTCTCGCACCTTGTATTTATCCTGGAGACCCTCCCCTGGTAAAAGAATTTAGGGGCTATGCCTCATTGCTCCCTTTCAGACTTCAGAGGACCCCACTGGTCCACCCACAGCCCCACAAGCTTGGATCTGAGGCTGAAGGTGGCCATACTCAGTGCCGGTGGGGATTACTACTATGTCTGAGCAATGTTCTTTAAGGCCTGAGCACAACCTCATAAGGAACATCTCACAGGTGGCACCCAGACTGAGTTCTCTGGGTTGCATTTCATATGTATCTATCTCTCTAGGAGTCTCATGTGACACTGCCATACCTTAGTCACCAGCACATCCTTCAGTCTAGAGGCCTCTCCTTTGGGTTGTTTGTTGGGGAAACCCAGTAAAAGGCAACCATACATACTGCTTTTGGACAGAAGACAGTCCAGGGGTCCCTCCCCAGGTCTGTCCTCATCTCAGATTATCATGTGGGTCCCTGCTTATCTGGATGTAATGATTATCCTATTAATGTCAGTAGCAAGCTAGACAAGGAGTGGACAGACAACCTAACCTCAGACAGGAGCCAAATTCAGCAGTTGTATTTGGTAAGAGTTGATAGATAGAAAGAAAACACATTTGATTTATAAGTAGACATTAATATATGTTCAATTTATCAAACCAAATGGAGCTGACAAGTGTGAGTGTGAGGAAGTGTGAGGTATTTTTCCTTTCATAGGAGAAATCTGTTTTTTTGTTAGGAACATGCTACCTTCCCTCAACCCCTTCTTTTAGTTAATTTTTGTCTACACATTTCCTGGTATCACCCAAGAGCCTGGGTAGTCTCCCTCTTGTGTAGGGGAAGCAAGTGGCCTTTTGGCTTCAGCCCCCTTCTGCTTTGGCCAGTCCCGGTACAGATGGCAAGAGGAGCCAGAAAGGTAGGAAAACAGACCTCAGGTTCCTATTCCGCTGACACAAGGAGCAACCAGTCCCTGCCCTTAGTCCCCATGGCTTCATAAGGAGACTCAAACAAGCAGAGAAATGAGGTCAAGCACAAAGGAGGCAAGGTTTGACCGTGAGCATTGTGCAGAGAGCTGGGCTGGCCTCAGGACACGCCGTCACTGCTTCTGCCCGGGAGAAAGCCAGAGCAACTGCAGGAGGCTGCTGTCTCCCAGTCTTCTACCTTTGACCCTTCCTTCTCCTTCTTTCCAAGCCAGAAGGACACCCAGATGTGGGGTGGTCTTCCTGGGACAGGGAAGAAGGTAGGGAAGAGAAACAAAAGCCAATGCTGGCGCCCAGAGAGGCAGAAGGGACCATCCTGTCTGTCAGGCCCTGGCAGGGGTATGCACACAGGGCACACAGCCTGTGCCTATCAGGAGACCTGCTGGAGGAGGGGGTTTGGAAGGGGTGATGAGTTTGGACAGAGAAGCGAGGAAGCACAGAAACATTCCATTTGTCGCTGTCTACAATCAGCAAAGCAGTGAGAGGGATCCTTTAAAAACTTAAGTTAGGCCCTGGCTGGTGTGCTTAGTGGTTAGAGCGTTGGCCAGTGCACGGAAAAGTCTCAGGTTCTATTCGCACTCAAGGGCATGTACTTGGGTTGAAGGAATGATTCCTGGCCCCCAGGGCGTGTGCAGGAGGCAACTCATTGTTGTGTCTCTCCCACATTGATGTTTCTCTCCCTCTCCTTCCCTCCCTTCCACTCTCTCTAAAAATCAATGGGAAAAAATCCTTAGGTTAGGATTAATAACAAACAAACAAACAAACTCCCCTCCCGTGCCCCCCACCCCTGCAACAACTTATGTTACTTTTTTGCTCCAAAACCTCCCATAGCCCTCCATCTCCCTCCAAGTAAAGCCCAATATCCCGAGGATAGTCTGTAAGAGCTGGCCCCCTATGGCCCTTTGGTCTCTGCTCACTCCTCTCTTCCTCCCTGTCTCTGCCCAGCCCCTGTGGCCCCTCGCAGCTCTGTGAGCACACCGGCCTCCCACTCAGGGCCTCTGAATGTGAGCTTGTCTGGTGCCTTTCCCCATGTCCCCTGGCTCATGCCCTCGCCTCCTAGGCTTTGTTCCAATGCTCCCACTCCCACCATTCATTTACCCCCAGCCCCAGCACTCCCACCCCCCTTCCCGGGGTCCATCTTATTCCACACCACTTACTGTAACCTGTCAGCACATTATACAATCCACTGATGTAATAATGGTAATACCAGTTCCTATTGGACTCTCCAAACAGGAGGTAAGCTCCATGAAGGCAGAGTTTGGGGTTGTTTATTGTCGGGGGGAGAGGGCTGTTTGAGAACTGATCTATCTTCCCTGCCTAGAAGAGCACCTGGCACACGAAAATATTTGCCAGATGAGCTGCCAACTGAAACAGAGACCTTCCTCTGGGGACCCAGTCCCACAGGGACTGAGAGCTCTGTTTAGGCATTTGAGCCTCTAGGCCAGACAGGGGCTGGGAGGCCTACAGATAATGGCCAACGTGAGGCGCTCATAAATGTCTGGGCAGTAACTCTTTAAAAAATTTTTTTATTGAGGTAAGAACACTTAACAAGGGACCCACCCTCTTAACAGACTTTTAATTGTTGTAATGCCTTTTTTTTTTTTTTGTAGTTCTATGGGCCCATGGTCCTGTAGGTATATAACTGGGGCACAAGAAAACAAACACTTGCTGATCTGACTTCACTAAAAAGCCTGGGATGTTAAGAAAACCAACCAAGGGATGCGTTATCACACAGACAAGAAGCACGCTGTCAGCTGGATTTCCCGGAGCTGGAAGCATTCCCACACGCCCTCCCTCTTTCCTGTGTGAAAGCCCATGGGTCTCCCTAACAGCCCTGCCCCGCTCCAGCCCGGTCCCCCGAGGCACGCCGAGGCGGGCCACTGCCTTAGAGCCCTTTTCGCAGATGTGAGGCGTGAGCGGTGCACAGCTTGCAGCCTCCACCTGGAGCCAGAGGCAAGCCCTGCACACGCACAGACATGCCCTGGCACGCAGGAGTCCCCCGTGACATGCATGTGCGAAGGCGGACAGCCCCGAACCCCTGGTTGAGGCGGAGAGACAGTGGAGACAGGCGGTGGGAGAGGATGAGTGGACTATAGGTCCAACGAGGTCAGAGGCAGAAGAGAGAGGCGACAGGACATGATCAACAGACGATGAGCCCTGCACCCAGGGGCGCTGGATGGCATGTTCCGGGAGACACAGGACACGGTGAGAGGAAGGTATGAGGAGGCGCTCTGCCTGAGCCAGCTCCACCCGGCAGGAGGCCCTGTGCCCAGCCCGGCCCAGGACTTACCCACTCAGAACCATGCCCAGCGCCACTGGTGCCCACACAGGAGCACACGTGTGAGTGGCTGGGGGGCGAGCATTAAACTAGGAGCTTGGGGAGCAGAAAGAGCGCAGAGCAGCTCTCCAGGGTAACATCAGGCACCGGAGGAAGATAGTTCACAAAGTGAAACACTGTTTTTCAGGGTCTGTAAGGAGCCTGAGGGATCTATCCCAATTGCTGATGGTAAAGGAGAGACGATGACAGCCGCACCCGGAGTCAGGAGGGAAGAGGGACTAGACCCCGGCCCCCTGCTCCCACCACAGAGCAGGTCTCTGCTCTGCCTCTGTGCCTGCGGCTAGAGGAGGGCGGCTGAAGGGCCGGGCGCGGGAGTCTCTGGCCCGTCCTTCATGCGCTGGCTCCTTCCACGGCTGCTGAAAGGAAAGTGGGCCTCAAGAGACAGCAGTAGGAGTGCTGAGGGCAAAGGTCAACCCCCCAGGGGCCTTTGGTCACATGGGGGCTCCTGTGCATGCTGAACCACATCGCAATGAGTGAGGGGGAAACAGGCAGGGTGAGGAAAAAGGGAGAGAGAGAAAAGGAGACATTGGACTCAAAGTAAACTACCTACTTAGCCTCATGGTGGTGGTGTGGGGGGGTGGGTAGCTGTGATGGGACTTTTAAAGTAGAACCCAGCCGAAACCCATTTGGCTCAGTGGATAGAGCGTTGGTCTGTGGACTGAAGGGTCCCAGATTTGATTCCGGTCAAGGGCATGTACCTTGGTTGCAGGCACATTCCCCAGTAGGGGGTGTGCAAGAGGCAGCTGATCCATGTTTCTCCCTCATTGATATTTCTAACTTTCTACCTCTCTCTTTTCCTCTCTGTAAAAAAATCAATAATAATAATAATAATAATAATAATAAAAGATTATTTTAAAGTAGCACCCAGCTACTGGGCCAGCAGCTCCATGCCCTTTGCTCCTCAGCGACTGACTGTTTTACACACGGGGACACGGATGCCCAGAGCGCGCCCAGGCCTGCAGGGGCAGGAGTCCAGCAGCTGCCCCAAACTCTCCCACCACGACACCAGGTCCCCGTGGCAGCCTTTTGCTGGGGTAGCCTCAGGGGACCTCTCTGCAGAGAGGGGCAGGCCTGTCTCTCTTGTCACCTTTTCCTCACCGCCCTGGGCAGGGAGTTGTGGAGACAGGCCTCCCACCCACGGGAGAGATGGTGGTTTCCTGAAGAGTCTCTGGCTGGAGGCTGGGAGGCCGGCGTGACCCAGCCCCACCTCCTCACAGGGAGCGCTCACCATTCATCTGGGAGGGCGAGGAGGAGTAGTCCCGCTCCGCGTGCCGCCGGTCCGGCTTCAGGTTGCGGCTCTGTCTGCCGGAGCCTTCCAGCATGTTCACGATCTCGCTCCGGTCGATGTTCCGCAGGGCGGTGTATAGGTTCTCCACTGTCGGGGAGAAGGAAAGAAGGGCTTGCGAGGGAGCGCTGATGAGCGCAGGGCGGTGCAGAATGCCACGGGGCTCTGAACACCGGGAGGGGGACACGGGAGATGGGGGGAGGCATTCCTCTTGGGTGAGAATCCAAGCAAACGGCCTCTGAGGAGAAGATGCCGTTGCCCTTGAAGAGATCTATTCCAGCCCTTAAGAGTAGCCAATTCCAAAGCCCGGAATTTAAGAAGAAAACTACAAGAGAAGGAGCGTGAGACTAGTTAGAAATCCTTGGTCCTGTGGATTGGCGGAGAAGGCTGTATCTCAGGGCCAATGGACTTGAGATGCCAATGAAGACACCCCATTTCCTCTCAGTGGTTTTGACTACGGGAATTTGGTTGAGGAGGAGCTAAAAAGGGTGAGAAAAAAAAAAATCTTCCCCCCAGGTTGGAGGGAAAAAAGGCTTCTGGGAGGAGGAGGACAGGCTTCGCTCACCCATGCGCTGTCCTGAGAGGACGGTCGGCCCTCAGTTGTTTGAGAAATTCAACAGGAAGTCACATACCCTACGCGTGTGCTGCTACCTAGGGGTCCTGGTGCCACTGTGAGGAGGGGGGTGAGCTGGAGGCCAAGGCTCCCTGGCATCCTCTTCTGCCCAGATCACCCAGCAAGCCTGAGGGGTGTGTGCGTGAGAGGGACAGAGTGCAAAAGCAGATGGGTTCCGGAGGCTAACGTGAAACATGGGTTCTGAAAGGAGAGCTATGTGGAGAAGACTAGGTCCTGGCACAGGCTTTTGGGAAGAGAGGCGTCCTCGGCCTCAGGGTACTGACTCTTGGCGTTTGTGCCTTCACGGATGACCCAGAGGTTCAACAAGGTGGCGCTCTGCTCCAACAGCGAGTTGGGGTTTTCCACGCGAATCCTGTTGATGTCTTCCACACTGAACTGCAGCTCCCGGGCCAGCTCTGCAAGACAAGAACAAGCCCCAGCGTGAGCCAAGCCGGAGCTGGGCTCCAGCGGCCACGCTGGGCATCCGGCCGGGAGCACCTTTGAACTGGATATTCCTTCTTACCAAGAAACACCGAGTGAAATCTAAGCTGACCAGGCAGCCTCTCAGAAAGGTAAGCAACTTATCCAAGGTCACAGAAGCTGGTGCGGAGCCAGGAGTAGGGCCCAGCCTGCAGATGCCCACTCCAGGGCTGTCTGTCCTGCACCAGGAGGCCACTTACACCCCACAAAGAAGCAATTAGAATGGCAATGCATTTCTATAGTTACATTTCTTCAGGGAAAGGCGTTATTTACATTTTAAGTGAAAATACAAGCTCCCATCTAAAAGCAAGGCAATAACACAGATTGTTTGCCTATTTTCCCTCCCGTTATTTTTATTGTCATGTCTCACAGGTGCTTTAGAAGGGAGAACAGCATCAGAATCTAATTTCAAGGATGAGAAAGACCAGAGGGAAAGTTACAGTGAGAATCAGAAGGTGCCTGTAAAACACACACACACACACACACACACCTTAAGAAGCAGCAGTCAACATTCTTTTTTTTTTTTTTTTTTTTTGGCTTAAAGAAATAAGTCTCAGAATTCCTGTTGGGAACCTTTGTCACCTGCCCTTCAGCAAGTTCTTGCTTAGGTCTCTGAGTCTGTCTGGAGCTCTCCTGCAGGGGACTGTGGGGCCTATTCATATAAATTCTCACCAAGAGACGGGGGAGAATTCAGTCATAGGGCCTATGACTGTGCAAAGCACGTTTCCAGCTTTCACTTTATTTTGCTCCCTCTTCACTTCAAATGTGGCTCTCCCTTATTGTTGACAAGACGTGTGGTAGATTTCAGTGACGGCCGGGGATTGTAAATGAAAAAATGTTGAGGTTTGGCCTTGAATCCCCCTTTTCCCCTCAGCAACACCAACCTGGAGGAAAGGCAATGGGAAGTGGGTAGGGGGCGGTGGGCAGGCCGCCAGGTGGCCTAGCTTTTGCCTGAGTGTTTGCTATTTGTTTGCTGGCTCTTCTGGGCTCTGTCACTAACCAGCTACACAATGAAAGCCACTCCATTTAGTGGGAGCTCAGTTTTCCCACCTATAAAATGAGGTTAACTGGACCAAGTCTAAGGTCTCTTGTAACGTCAAACGTATTCTTTCTTACAAAGGAAATCCAGATGGAAATGGGAGAGAGAGAGGAAGCCCCAAAGGTGTTGCTTGGGCAACAGGCCTGTCTAAGACAATCACAGCACAATGGAGAGTAAAAAGAGGGTCTAGAAGTGCTTTCATCGGGTGCTCATTAGAGGGAGGTATACACAGGCAAAGTGCTTTTTCTACCTCAAACTCCGTGGCTCACCTGCCCAGCTGAGACCAAGGTGTTCGGATATAAGGGCCATCTTCATGTCTGCTCGGTCCGTCCCACTGAGAAAACCTGGGGAGAAGCATGGGATTTCATTGAGTAGCCTCGGCAGGACACAGAACCAACTGGGGTGAGTCAATGACCTCAGATGATGCTCAGGTCAGGTGTGAACCCCAGTGTGCACCAGATTAATTGAGAACCCTGTGAGGGTCAGGAGGAAGAGACCAAAGGCTCCACCTGCTGTGTTTATGACGCACTGCGTCAATCCTCTCAGCAGAGAGCTGCTGTGAGGGTGAGAGGCCTGGGCTCACTCACAACCTCCTTGGAAAAGGGAGCGGGCACAATAGCATGCCAGGGAGGTGTATACCCAGTGTGGATTCGCTGAGAATGCTGTATCGCAAGGCCAGCGGTGTCAAGGTCCGTCTCCTGTCGTCGGCTCCGCTCCCCTGCAGAAGGACGACAAGGAAAAAGTGCTGTGGGTTTCAGGCCCTCCCCTGCTTTGAGAAGAGGATTTGAGCAATAAGCTGTGGGGCGGAGAACAGGAAGACTCTGCTTCTTTGGAGCCTGACACAAGGAGTAGAAGTGTGGGGGTGAGAGGGAGTTGCTAATCCTCACATACTTTAATGACGACAGTAGTAGTGATAATAATAACAGTAGTAGTAATAAGGCCTGCCTGATGTGGCTCCGTGATCGACCCAGGAACCAAGAAGTCACCAGTTCGATTCCCCACCAGGGCATATGCCCAGGTTGTGGGCTTGATCCCAAGTAGGGGCGGGCAGGAGGCAGCCAATCGATGAAGTTTCTCATTGATGTTTCTATTGCTCTACCCCTCTCCCTTCCTTCCTCTTTAAAAATTCAATAAAAAATATATATATATTTAAAATAATAATAATAATTACAAACCCGTGAGGCCCTTATCATGTTCCAGGCCCTGTATAATCCTCACAATGACCTACAAGGTGGGATACTATTATTATTCCCAGGCCATCAACGAGGAAACTGAGGAACAGACAGGCTAAACAACTTGTGCAAGCTCACTCAGCTAATAAATGGTGAAGCTGCGGTTTGAACTAAAAAAAAAAAAAATAATAATAAAGAAATAAAATAAAATTTTCTGAGTTCCTTTCTCCTCAAAAGACCCATTTGTGACACTGGTCCAAGGCCTAACGCCATGGAAAAGCACCCAGGTGCTTGCTCAAGGATTCAGGAATTCTATTTTGAAAAAGAAGTTGGCTCCCCCCGGTCCCCAGACAGGAAAGAAAATCTGAGCCACAGGTGCACGAATGTAACCTTGCTGCTTTTCTCTTTTGGCAGGGAAGGCTGATTATTAAAACAACACCAACAAAAACACGGAGACATATGATCACTCCCAAGTCCCTGTGATGTGTGCTGACGCTGATACTCCTACGGATACCAATAAGTGGCCATACTTGGTCACGACGCCTTTGCTGAGCTCAAAAACCTGAGTGTTGGCACTGGCTGAGACGCCAGGGACCCCTTCTCTGAGGGCCTGCCTCCCTGGGGGAAGCATCCCCCCAAAAAAGGGTAAAAAAAAAAAAAGCTATCAAATGGCTGGGTGACCTTGAGCAACCCAATGCCCAGTTTACGCCTCAGAGGCCTCAGACGAGGGGTCCCGGGGTAGATGTTTTTCAGGTTCCTTCGAACCCCCTAGAAGGGACATACTAGAGAGCTCAGAGTCCCTAGGGTGAACACGCGTATTGCCACCTGACACTGATGTTTTGTTCCTGAGCTTTGCAGAGCGGGCCAGGCATGCTGTCCCTGCCAGGCCACAGCCAAATGTCAGAGGAGACAGAGGAGCCGCTCCGAGCCTCAGGGAATCCAAAGGCAGCTTTTCAACAGGGGGAAGCCCTTTGGATGTGGTGGACCTACGACCTCCTCAGGGACCCCACCTCTGGCCCAGGCCCCTCCTCGGGGGGCCGCTCACCTTGGTGCAGGGGGGCATGGTGATGTTCAAGTGGCAGAGAATGTGTTGCGTGTCCTCGTACTTCATCGCCTTGCGCAGGAACGACAGGGACCCTCCCGGTTCTCGGCTGCTGTCCCTCACCTACATCCAATCACACAAAGGGAGCTCAGTGGGTGGGGAGTTGTTCCACAAGCCACGAGGCCGGCCGAGAGATCTCTGCCTCCCAAACGTTCTAGACCCGCAAGCGAGGCCGGCACCTTGACAGGAATGGCCAGGCGGTTCTCCCGGAATGACTGGAACTGGAAACTCCGCTGCTGGGCGGCTTTCTTGACGGGCACCAGGTTCCCGGAGAGCTCTGCGAACAGGGGCGTCCCTTCCAGCACCTGCAGGGGAGGGAGAGCGATCCAGCTGTCGCGTGGAAGCACCCAGAGGTGCTGTCCTGCCTCCAGCCCTGGCCTTTCCTCTCTCGGGACGCACCCCTCCTGCAGCTCCATGTAAAGGGTCTCCTCTGGGAAAGCACACTCTTGGTTTGGGAAAAGATTCTATTGCCAGGTTATTATGCTTTCACAGCAAGCAGAAACCTTCCTATATCCCTGTCTGGCTGACCAGGATGGCCGCCAGAGTGCCCTAGAACTCTACTAGGATATCATAAAATGACTTCTGAAAAAACAAACCGTTTTCCACACCCATCCAAAAACGTTTAGTGTATGCAAAGTGCTAGAAGGATCATGCAAGTTTTTGTTTGTTTGTTTTGTTAATCCTCACCAGAAGATATCCCTTCCCCCCCATTTATTTCTTACAGAGCGTGGAAGGGAGGGGGTGAGACAGGAAGAGAGAAACATTGATATGAGAGAAACATCAATTGGTTGCTTCCCATCAGGGCTGGGGATCGAGCCTCCAAACCGAGGTATGTGCCCTTGACGGGAATCAAACCCAGGACCCTTCAGTCCGAGGCCGACGTTCTATCCACTGAGCCAAACCGGCTTGGGCCCATGCGACATTTTAATCTCACCCCTAACAAAAGGGGCCCTGCTGTGCATATACTGCTTTCAACTGAACCCACTTGACAGCTGAGGAAATGGAGGCCCAAACAGAATAAATGCTTTGCTTATTTAGTTTTTTCTTCTATTCCCTCAGCCACCCACAGAGGCTCAGCACAAACTCTGAGACCAGACTTTTGGGAAGGTCGTGGCTTATCACACATCTTAGCATGAGCCAGTGTCCTGGGGTCAGTGGCAGATTCCAATCCAGTCATATCTGTGCCGCCCTCTCTCCCGCTTCCCCACCTGGACGCTACCAAAACCCTAGCACAGGTCAGGGTGTGGGCTCTGGGGTCGGGCTACTTGGACAAATCCTTTCCCGAGTTTACTTAGTTATGTGACCTTAGACAGGTTACTTAACCTCTCTCAGCCTCAGACTCCTCATCAGTAAACTGGGGATAAAGGTACACACAGTTATGAGAATCAGGTGAGATTATGCTGGCCACACACTTTTACGGTTACCCGGTACCTAAGGACTTTAACAAATGTCAGCTCTCATCGTCACAAATCCCTGGGCCAACAATGACGTTCCTCACCTTCGGGTGCTTCTCAAGAGGGGCATCAGAGAAACAGCCCAGGCCCTAGCCGGTTTGGCTCAGTGGATAGAGCAAAAGGTCCCGGGGTTCAATTCCCATCAAGGGCACATGCCTGGGTTGCAGTAGGGGGCATACAGGAGGCAGCCAATCAATGATTCTCATCATTGATGTTTCTATCTCTCACCCCCCTCTCTGAAATTTATATATATATATATATATATATATATATATTTTTTTTTTTTTTTTTTTTTTTTTTTAAAGAGACAGCCCAACCCTGACCAGCTTGGCAGTTTGGCTGGATGGATAGAGTGTTGGCCTGCGGACTGAAGGGTCCCAGGTTCGATTCCGGTCAAGGGCATGTACCTTGGTTGCAGGACATCCCCAGTAGGGGGTGTACAGGAGGCAGCTGATTGATGTTTCTCTCTCATCGATGTTTCTAACTCTCTACCCTCTCCCTTCTTCTCTGTAAAAAATCAATAAAAATACATTAAAAAAGAGAGAGAGCCCAGGAAGCTTCTCCCATCACCTGAGGAAGGATTTCCCAGCAGCCCTGGAGAACAGAGCTCACACGTGGCCCCTCCTGGCTCCTAAGCTTTGTCTCCCCGTGGGACGTGAGGCTGGCCCGAGAGTGCCCAGGGGCAAAGGGCAAAGGGGCGCGGGTGCTCACCTCTATGTCCCTGCTCCGGGCCACCTCCACGAAGTTCTCGTGATGCTCGAGGGTCTTGTCCACCTTGTCGTCCGTCATACAGTAGCAGCGCAGCCGCCCTTCGCGGGGGTCGTTCATCTTGGCAAAAATGACGAACTTGGCCATGTAGGGCACCGCGGTCAGCTCCTTGTACAGCAGGGTGGCGAAGTTCACGGCCTCGGCCGTCCGAGGACAGTCCGACAGCCAAAACCTGCAAAGAGAGGGCTAAGCATGAGCACGTTCCTGAATGCCCAATGGAGAGCTTCGCTGCCACGCAGACAAGAGCAACCGGCAAGCCATGCCATGGCCTCTCTGGCACTGCTGGTGGTGCTTCAATGTGGAGGACACTGAGGTTCAAGCCTGGGACGGGCAGGTGGGGGCACGAGGGTGGCTACTGCCAGGGGCAACGCTGACCCCTCATGTAAGGCCCGAAGTCCTTTAGGCTGGGCTGGGCTGGGCTGGGCTGGGACGCATCTCACCTGGCAGAGACGTTGGTGGTGAAGGTGGCACACTCGTTGGCATACACGAGCTTGGTTGTTCCTGTTATATCTTCCCACTGGGCTTGGTCTGTTCCTCCTAGAACAGGACCAGAGAACGGGCTGGGAGACAGTCTTCAGTCACAGACACAGAGCTTGCCCAAGCAGTGAGGCCTGTCCTTACCATCTGGTGAAGCCCTGAGCACACCTGCTCTCCCATACCTTCCTCCCCTTCTTCCTCCTACTGCCCCCTAGACCCTTCCCAGAGCAGCTGGGGTGCTCCCACGGAGGGCGTGGTCTCTACTCAGACCATCACCCCGCCATCCCTGTGGAGAGCACCTCCCTAGGCCAGGCCAACAAAATGCGAGATGGCGGCGGTCTTTGCCTTCTCCTGTCTCCCCGGGAGTGGCTGGAAGGACGGGAGACAGGCCGGAGGCCAGGGTCACCTCTCACCAATGACGCTGCAGAGCAGGCGCAGGCTGGTGGTGTCGCCCTCCCCGCTGTCCCGCGGGTTGTCCGTCCAGGAGGGCGGGAGCGGGATCCGCAGCCCGATGGGCCGGTGGAATTTCCGACGCCGGGGCTCCACGGTGACGATGGGGCTGAAGGTGGCCTGGTTGCCCAGGAGTTTGGTGACTAGCTCATCTGGAACAGGCTGGGCCTGCGAAGGGCCGAACGGGAGACCCTCAGCCCCAGAGCCTCCCAGGGGCCCGTGGACAGGAGACGGCACAGTCCCCAGGGGGCTGTCTAGACGGAGTGCAAAGGTGGGACCCAGGCTGCCCAGGGCCGACGGCACTGCTTAGCTCTCCTTTCTGAGCCTTTTTCCGCCATTTCCCTGTGACGCCTCATCCCCGGGAAGGTACCCTGCAGGAGGCCCTGTAGGTTAATGCCTTATCCGGAACATTCAGCAACTTCCCAGGGAGCTGCTGCCGCATCCCACCCACCCACCCAGCGGCCTTCAGAGCTTTCATGTCAAATCTCTAAGGACATTGTCAGGCACTGGGCAGAGTGTGGGGTGAGGGTTGTCTTCCTGAGGGCCTTGTTCACCTTCCCCCTTTCGTGAACTCTGTCTGGGTATGGCGGGCGGAGGTGGGGGGCAGCAGGGGGGGTCAGGGGACGCCCCGTCGGGCGAGGAGGAGGCCACGTCACCTGCAGAGCCAGCTTCACCCTCTTGGTGACGGCGTTTTCCGGGAACGTGGCCTGCACCAGGGGCACCAGCTTGCTCTTCAGGGAGCCGCCTTCGGGGCCGATGGTGTCGTAGTCCTGGCAGAGCCGGGACATGATCACGAAGTACAAGGGGAAGTCCGTGGTGATGATGCGGCACACCCGCTTCTTCTCCAGCTCCTCCAGGCTCCCCAGCTCTGGAACCACAGGGCACGGGGCCATGAGCCCCGCCATGCCGAGCCCAGGCTCGGCCCCCGGCGTGTCCCAGAGCCCCCTCCGCACTGCTCTCTCTGGGGGTGGCGAGGGGTGGCGAGGCTGAGCCACCGGGAGGGAGACATCCCTGCATCCAGAGGCCCAGAAGCAGACGCAGGTGGCAGATGGGGGTCAGGTGCTCACTGAGGGACCCGGAACTGCACCTAACGGGCCATCTGCAGGCCCCGGGGCTCTCCAAACCCCAGGCAGCCAACAGCCCACCCCAAAGGACAGCCTCCAATGCCATCTTCCAGGAGGAGGGCGCCGTTACCTTCGTCCATCCCGTTGAGGATCTGGTCCAGGTAGCTCTCTCCGTAGCGGCTCTTGTGCTCCTTCCACACGGAGCCGTTCTCACTCCGCAGCACCACGAGCTCGCGATCCCCGCGGCCGTGAGAGGCAAAGTGGGGGATCTCCACAATCACAGGGCTGCGGGCACAGAGCGGAGGGTGTGAGGGTGTGAGGATTCGGGGTGCGTGCCTTTGGTGGCAAAGGGAGGGAGGGGGGGTTGTGGGGCAGCGGGTTCCTGCCTGGAGGGAAGAAGGGGTCCTGTAGCCACAGTGGGGAGGTCCTGACCATGGAACAGACCTGCCTCAGGCTCCTTGGCTGCCCCATGGCCCCCGTCAGTCCCCACCAGGCAGATCGCTCTGCCCTTGGACCTGATGCTGAGCCCGCTGACATCTCTGCACAGCACCTCTCCAAACCTCGGCTTCCCGCTAGCACAGCGATAAAGTCGGGAGGACTAGACTCAAAGGGGAAATCAGCACAAAGGCCTTTGCGGGCTGCTTTACAAGTGGTGGATGAGAGCTTGGGGTGGACACAGGGAGTGGATAGAGATGAGAAGGCAGGGCTTTCTGGGCAAGACCTGTCCCCGCACGCCAGCCAAGGCCAGCATCCGGCCGTGGTGCCTGAAGAATAACAAAGCTTGGGCGGAAGCCCCGTCTGCCTGCCACCGGCGAGGTGAGGAATGAATGGACTTCGAAGCCCATTGATCTGGCCGGCCGTGGGGTGATGCTGTCAAATTGTCTTAGTCTGGTTACTAAGTTGTCTTAGTCTAGTTACTCCATTGTCTTAGTCACTAAGTCTCTAGTAAGACCATTTTGAAGTTGAAATAATTAAAACCTGGGGTTGGGGGGCGGGGGGGGGGGCCCAAAGTTGCTCTGTCTTCCCATCCCTTCTCTAGTGTCATACGAGGTTGGAGAGCATTGAGCTCCCCCCCCTCCCCCCGGGCTGTGGACTTCTTGGTGTACCCAGGAGCAGGCAGTTCAAGGGGACGAAGTTGGGGGTGGGGGAGGGACTCGGGGTGCTGTTCCTGCCGGGACAGCAGAGAAATGAGGTGACGGGGGCACCAGGCTCGTCCCCTCTCTGCCCTGTGGCGGGTGGCTCTGTGGTTGCTGCCGAGGTGGCAGCGACGGACCCACGGGGCAGGGACAGGTTAGGGACGCCCCACACACCCACAGAGAGATCTCGCACCTCAGGAACTGGGCCCCCGTGGGCCCCAGCGCGATGATCCTGCTGGCCAGGCCCTCCTCCTCGGCCAGCGGGGGCGGTGTGCTCAGTTTCTGCGGCTTCACCAGGCGGCAGGTGATGCGTGTGGGCGCCGCGCACGTCCTCGGCGGGATCACCACCCGCAGGCCATTGTGCCGGCTCCCTCGCATGGAGCCTCCCCGGGCGTCCACCATGAAGCTCACCAGGAACCTAGGCACAGGCAGAGCCGTGTTGGGTGTCCATGTGCTCTCTCTGTGACGGGGAAGGGGGAGGGTAGGGGGCGCGGGGCCTGAGTCCCTCTCGGGGGCCACTCACCCTGTGTGCACAGGGCTGGCCACCGGGCTGATGTTGTCCGAGGTCTCTGTGGCCGGGCTGCTGGGGATGAGTGAGTCTTCATCATACTCTTTCGATGCCTGAGGAGGAGAAAAAGGCCAAGTGTCTCAGCCCGGCCCAGGCCACAGGTGCTGGTCGGGGGACAGCTGATGCTGAGCCCGGCTGGGGGGAGGGGGGTCAGGAGCACCTCCTCACCAGGAACCGCGGGGACCCGGGGAGGAAGAGCTCCCACAGGCACTGAGCCTGTGGGCGCAGGCGTGCCGGAGCGAAAGGAAGCACGGCTTCCTCCTAGCATGGCCTCTCCTCGGCTCACGAACCTGGGACGGAGTCTCGGAACAGACGGAGCAGGTCCTCTCTCCATCTTGCTTCAATCTTAGGTCCTGTGCCCACTGCTGACCTACCCCCTGGTCTCCAGCTACACCCCCACCTCTGCTTGAGCTGGCTTGGTTTTCACTCTAGTGTTGGCAACAGACTCTGCACCATCGCCTACTCGTTCTTTAGCTCTGAGCGAGCTCCTTGACCTGCAAGCACCTGAGGTCCAGGAGGTGAGTGGGACAGACCACTGCTGTGTGTGTGTGTGTGTGTGTGTGTGTGTTGTGTATGTGTGTGTGTGTGTGTGTGTGTGTGTGTGTGTGTGTTTGTGTGTGTGGGGGGTGGCTTCCTGCTATCTCACCTGCCATGGGACAGGCCCTGCCTCACAGTAATGCTGCAGCTACAGGACATGGGCTGCCTCACACAAGGACTCTTGAAAGCCACCAGGGTCTGATCCTATCTCTGTCCCCTCCAGACCTGTTCTCAACTCTGCTCTTGCTCACGCTCTCCCACAGGTGCAGACGTCCTGTCCCTCTCTTCGCTGTTCACTTTCCACGTCTCACCTCCTCCATCAATCTTTCCCTTCGACTCTGATCTGGAAAAACTCACACCACACCGTTGAGCACCTGGAGAGTTACGCTTCCCTCACTTTGTGCTAAATGGCTTCGTGTAGCTGAGTCCACCCTTGCTGGTTGGACTATCAGCTCCTAGGAGGCAGGTATGGGTCTCCTAGTCTGCCATCCAGCCCTATGCGGGGCACACAGTAGGACTCCAGCAACACCCGCTGATTTGAGGAGTCGAAGAGAATGGGTTGGCCAAGGAACAGCAGGACACAGTTCCACCCAGCTGCTTTTGATGATTCGGGCAGCACCCAGGGCGTGTGCCCCAGCAGGACCAGGGCTGTATCTGACCATGACCCCCAGATGCCACCCAATGAGTGACACCAATATCCGCCACCACAATATACCCAGCCTAGAATGGCTGGCTGGACAGCTTCACAGCCACTTTGGTATGGCTGCTGCACTCAGACACACACCCTCTCAGAGACCAGCCTTTGTGGGACACAGACTTGCCTCATTCAGGCTGTCATTTCCAACCTCAAACACCACACTGCTCTCTTTTTATGCTAGAAAAACCCCTTGTTCTGGGGGGGGGGGGGAGAGGGGGAAGAGAGAAAGAGTGCCAATGGCATAAAAGTAACCAAGGGGAAATGAAACTGTCTTAAACCATCCGACCCTTATTGGAGACAAATTCAGATGCCATCCAGGGGAGCCACGACGTAGGGCACTGCAATGAGCAATATCCCAAGTGCGAACAATCTCTCTGACACCCTCTTCTACTCCTATTGGTGTTTAAACTCCTAATAATCCCTCAAGGAGGGTGAGGCAGAAGCTGCTCCCTTCTCCTGATGGAAAAGAAAAGGAGTGCAGGGTTCTGTGACCTGCCCGAAACTTCGCTGTAGGGGCAGGAGCAGCCTGGGGCTCGCTCTCCAGTGCCGTGACCTGCTGCCCCCGTGGCTGCAGAGAGCACATGCGTGCACCAGGGTTGTGGCTGTGAGAACATGGGCTTTTGAGCAGAATGTCTGGCATCAGTTCTCAGCCTTGCTCATGACTGAACCCGTGTAACGGTGTTTTCCACGCCCCTGGGCTCTGCGAGACACCATGCCCGTCACATCTGGGATAATGAGAACACCGACACCCCAGAGGCTATGAGGAGCACATAGAATCTCAGGTCTGCAGGACGTGGTAAATGCTACACGTGTTTCAACTGTTAGCTCCTCTCACACCCCAGGTCCGTGGTCAGCAAACTGCGGCTCCCGAGCCACATGGGGCTCTTTGGCCCCTTGAGTGTGGCTCTTCCACAAAACACCACGGCCTGGGTGAGTCTATTTTGAAGAAGTGGCGTTAGAAGAAGTTTAAGTTCAAAAAATGTGGCTCTCCAAAGAAATTCCAATCGTTGTCCTGTTGATATGTGGCTCTGTTGACGAATGAGTTTGCCCACCACTGCCCCAGGTCACCTCGAAGCAATCATTGTCCCGGGGGGGCTCTGCTCTCCACAAAATGGAAAACAAGAGACAGGATGCTTCTTACCTGTTCTGGCTCTTCCGATCTGATCACCACTGTTTCCGGTGTGACACAGGGGATCCTCGGGATGGCTGGAGATTCCACCCTGGACACCAAGACAATTGGAAAATCAAAGAGACGACCCTTCCAAGTGGTCCCCCTTCTTCCCTGAGAGGCCTCAGGGAAACACCTGTGTACCCCATAACCACCTACCCAATCTGCTCACTCACCACAGCCTGGACTCGTCCCACTTCCCCTCTATTTGCACATGCAATACAACTCAGCCTACACCACTGACCAGCTTCCTCCCTTCGCCTCCAAGCCTTACTCCGGAGCCCCACCGTCCCTCAGAGCCTCACTGAAGGGCCACCTCCTCCGGGGATGCTCCCCGCTCTCACCAGCCCAGTTCTTAGCCTCAGAGCCCGTGTTGACAGAATCCTCGTTCTGGCCTCCATTGCATTGCTATGTGACCTCTGGGTGTGTGTTCTGATCCTACCAAATAAATCTGTAGCTTCTTTATGGCCAGGGGACAAGTCTTATACTTTTTTCTCAGTGATGTTCAACAAATACTGATTACATATGCTTGTTGTTTCACTTCCTGCTTGCCCCCCCTCGTCCTGCTCTGTATAAGCCGTGGGACTATGCCGGCACGCATCTGTCTTTCCAGAAAACGCCGAGGGCTCAGTGTTTCCGCACAGTGGTCTCTTCTAGATTTATTTGTGGGATATTCCTGCGTGCTCATGTGCTCACTGCAGAGTGACTCCCAGCGTCACAGGGAGGAGTGAGAAATGTGTTCGGGGCAGAGACAGCCTCTCTGTGTGTTTTCCCTCATGTATGGAAGGGCACGGTCAGTGTTAGAGCTCAGGAGCCAGTTTCTCATGTGAATTTTCTCAGTGGATTTTCCGGATGAGAAACTGAGCGTGTGTGAGAGGGAGAAGGGGTGTGCATATGAGACTGTGAGTGAGGGAGGAAGACAGTTGGGAGGCAGAGGTACTGAACGAGGAGGGGAGACACTCCCGGCCATTATGTTGTAAGGGAGGCCTCCATTCCCCACTTGATGCTCAAGGTACAGAGTTAGTGTATCCTAAGGTGCTGGACCCACAGTCCAAGCGGCCGGCAACTATCCCTGCCAGGGGCACACCCAGGGGCTGGCCTTCCAGAGACTTTTCTCTGCACTGAGGTCCAGGGCAGGACCCGGCCATCCACGGGGCGGGCACTGCTTACACTTGATCTAGCTTCGGCACAAAGTCCAGCAGCTCTTTCTCTTCGTCCACATCCCTGGAGTCCTGTCTCTCAGCCTTGGAGCCGACGAGTTCTTCCCCTGAAACCACACGAGTTTGAGAGAGTGACCGAATGGGGACCCGCGCTTTCTTTTTAAAAAGTGCTCTGCCTGCCGAAACCGGTTTGGCTCAGTGGATAGAGCGTCGGCCTGCGGACTGAAAGGTCCCAGGTTCGATTCCGGTCAAGGGCATGTACCTTGGTTTTGGGCACATCCCCAGTAGGGGGTGTGCAAGAGGCAGCTGAGTGACGTCTCTCTCATCGATGTCCCTCTCTCCTTCCTCTCTATAAAAAATCAATAAAAAAATATATTTTTAAAAGTGCTCTGCCCAGTTCTCAGTGCCGAGGAGTGGAGGAGTGCTCAGATGCTCAAAGGGGCGCCCATTAGCAATATCTTCGACAGCCCTGTTCCTCCATCCCTGGTACCCAGAGCTGGGCAGCAGCTCCTAGCATCCAGGTTTTGTAGAAAAAAAAAAAAATACAACCAGAAAGAACTTTTTTTTTTTTTTTTTTTTTTTTGGCTTGGCAAATGCTACTTCCAAAGAGCCCTTGCAGAGTGTGCGATGGCGCCAAAGGGCTGCTTCTGTTCTTTTCCGCTCCACATATCGCAGAGGCACAAGCTCCCACGGAACCACACCCGTCCACGTGGAAGGGCTGGTGGGTTCTGGTAACCATGGCAGGTGGAGCCTCATTGCTTCCTAAGCCCGTCACCACGAGTTCTCACTATGGCTACAGCCCTGACTGCCTCTGTTCCCTTTTCCTGCTTGCCCTGGACTCGGAGCCCTCGACTCTGCAGTGTCATTGGCTGTCCCTTAGCAGGGAGTGTCCTGACTCTGATCTGGAGCTGACAGAATGAAATAACAACAACAGCTCATGCAGGTATGGTCACACACACAGCGGCATGGGCACAGACACAGGGATGGACAGGCAGGAGCTCCCCGCCAGGGCATGGATCGAATGTATGGGTGTATGTTTCCTGTTTTTTAGTCAAAGCTCCCGGCTCCGGGGGGTTAGCCACCAGAGGAGGGTGGAAAGCAGGAATGGATTAGTGAGAGCTTGGATTGCTTGGGGGTGAAATGTACTGTGAGAAAGGACCATAGGGAACAGAAAGTGTTTCATACCCATTATAGATATATGAGCAGTTCCTGGAAAGCAAAGAAGAGCCAAGTTTAAGAAAGGACAGGATTGCAGTCAGTTCAAGCAAGAGGCATATCACCAAAGGGGACACGAGCACAGCTCTCATCACCTAGTTGCAACGTTATTCATTCGAGGGCCAGAGAGATAACCAGTCCAGTCCGACCACGGACATCCTTCCTAACTTAAGTGAGGAGATAGTAAGAAGCTACCAGCACCTGGTTCACAGAAGTTGAAAATGGACATACCCCCAAACTTTCTGACTCCTGGTGCGGTCGGAAGAGCAGCTTATTTATTAAATAGATTCGTACAGATTTTAAAATAAACAGCTTCCTGTTTGCTCAAAGCTTAAGGAAAGCACCAGGCAGAATTCTATGGCAGTTCTTTACAGCTCTGACAATTGATCTGAGGAGAACCATAGTCTGTGCATAATATATGCAAACACATATTTATGAAACTTCATGGGATTTTGCATTTTAATCTCCGAGACGTAGATTTTCCTTCTAAAAGATTACATTAATGAGGGCAGAGAACATCTTTGAGAAGCAGTTTCTCTCTGGTTTCCAAGCAGACCCGAGCAGCTGTGCTGTGCTGTGCTGGGGACCCCTGACTGGGGCAGGAAGCACCCAGGGAGTGCTCAGCGCCGTGTCCCCTGGCTTCACCCCAACTTATGTCAAACCCCCGACTTTACCTTCATCTTCAGAAACATCCAGGATCTCATCCACTGTCTCCGGGAAACTCATCCGGTGCTTGTCACTGACTAACTAAAATGAGGAAAAGCAGAGAATTCAGCCCAAATAAAACACTGACCCAGCGGTTACCTGGTTATGACCCTGGAGACAGGAAGGAGGAGGGAAAGGAGCTTTGTCCCAAAGACAAAATAATCAGAGCTAAGAGGCTCCCAGCCTAGAAGCAGGGGAAATAAACATGGCACACGCTCTTCCCATTGCCTAGTCTCTGCCCCAAGCCCATCGTACTACTGCCCCTTTAGGTCCGCCCCCAATTCCTCCTACCACTAGGTGGCAGTACAACTCCATTGGATGGAGAAGACCCTCCCGCCTTTAGGCTTGGTTCTGTCTACGAGTAGAGCCCCAGCTCTGAGAGTAACCCACAGGGGCACCCAGTCAGGCTGTGTGTTTGGGGTGGAGGATGCAAAGAAGCAGACGTACCGCGACACTGGTTTCATCTGTGACCACCTTGAGCACGTCTGTGACAGAGATGTAGCCCAAGCGCTTGGCTATTGCCAGAGGCGTGGTTCCATTCTGGGGAGAACAGCAGAGAGAGGGGGAGATCAGGCAAGGGAACGGCATCTGGGAGAACAAGCTCACCTTCTAACTGCGATGAGGGTTCTAGGTGGGCAGATGGCACCTCGGACCCCTGCACACTTGCGAGCCCAGGCATGTGCCAGACATTAGCCAGGCATGTCAGGGAGGAGGGCAGGGATACTTTAAATCTACAGCGATGAGTGTAAGAACCTTGACACACGAGCAGAGAAATCTTGCCAGGACACGTCAGAAACTTCCATGAGAGAGCCAACGGGGGGGGTGGGGGGGTGGGGGGGAATGAGACCGGAAGGCATCGGGAAGATGAGGGTACAGGGCAACGCTGTTCACTGCCCTCAATGCCAATTCTCTGGGTGTTGGTAAGGGAGCAATACGATGGTTACAGTCATCCATATACTTCATCAAATGCCCCCAGGCCAATCAGAAATCACAAATGACCAGAAATAGGGGTGTGTGTGTGAGAGGATATATCTTCTACACTCATTTTAAAAGAAAGATCGATCTTTCTCTTAAAATGAGTAAACTGATATTGAGGCTTTTTTCTTTTTCTTTTAAGTTCTCTAGTTCCAGGAGGTGCCCCGGGCCCCTCAGAGTCAGCCCATTCCACAGTTAGGGTCTCAGCAACCACATCCAGAACCAAAGTCCGCACACTCTCGGCGCTGCAAGCAGCCGCAGAGATGACCTAGCACAGCCTGTGCATTGCCGGGTGAGGAAGGCCGCCCTCCACGATGACCACCGGCGTTGCTAAGGACTGCCCTGAGGCCCTGTGACGCCGCGAGCCACGCAAGGTGTCTGGTGTTGCTCACTGGGCCACACTGACAGCAGCTTCACATGCTGCAGAGAGTTTCACCAGCTCATTTAAGCAGAAGTAAAGGGGGAGGGTAAACGGCGCTTGAAAAGATAACCTTCGTTCGCCAGAAAGAGAATCTAATCACAGCACGCCAAGGCCTGGGCGGGCCCCGGCAGCTATGCCTTTATGGTCCAGCAGCCCGTCCAGGCCCCGGACTGAGACCCTGTGGTGAAGGCACAGCTCCCAGGGCTGCCCATGGGCGCAGTGTTCTGAAATCAGGAACCAGGTGGGTACTCACCGAGCTGACCTCGTTGGGGGAAGCACCGTTTTTGAGAAGCAGTGTCACGATGTCTGTGTGTCCCTGTTGGGCCGCCTGGTGCAAGGGGCTGTATCCTAGCTGTGAAGCGAGGTAGGCGTTTTGGCAGGATTAGCTAGCCCCAAGACAAAGACCTGCCCACACACGACAGAGTCTATCCATCTTCCGTGTGCAACACCAGCACGCTTTCCCCCCATCTCCTCCTCCAGGGGCACAGCTCAGGACTGTGGCAGAGCCCCAAGGCAGCCCAGAGTCATCCCGGCTGCATGCTAATTTGGCCCTTAGGAAGAGTCAGTATAGGAGGCAGGTCTCAGGCGTCCCTCTACCTTAGTCTTGGCATTGACGTCTGCCTGGTGCTGTAGCAGGAACTTCACCAGTTTGATGTTTCCATAATGACTGGCCACGTGGAGGGGGGTGTAACCCATCTGCAAAGCAAGAGAAGAGAACGGGTGACCAGCTGGGCTTCTGGGCAAACCAAGAGCCTCTGTAAGGTGTGCATGAATAAAATCCTTACAACAGAGCTGATGGAAAGAGAGTGTGGCCCTGGGCGGTGGCTCTGTTGGTTGGAGTGCCATCCCGTACACCAAAATGTTGTGTTCAATCCCTGGTTGGGACGTATGTAAGAAGGCAACCAATCATTGTTTCTCACATGGATGCCTCTCTCTCTCTCTCTCTCTCTCTCTCTCTCTCTCTCTCTCTCTCTTTCTCTCTCTCTCTCTAACAGAGAAACTCTTTGGAAGGCTGGCAGCTGTGATGAGGTGTGAGCTGTACGGCCATGGCCAGTCAGGTATCGTTGGCCTGGGAGGGAGCAGGGCTCAGTATCTGATAAGTGAAGTTTGAGATGCCAGGAGCGGGCCAAGGGGAGATCGGAGCAGGCAGCTGGAGCACTGCCAGGGCCCAGTGAAGAGTTCTAGGTGAAGAGACACCTAGGAAGAGTTTAAAGCCTCGGAGATGAGTGAGGTCACCTAGGATACATGCAGAGAGAGGACCAAGGGGGCCCATATGCTGAGGCAACACAGAGGGAGATCAGAGCAGAGGACTGTGAGGGCCTGGAGGTGGGAGGAAAGCAGAAGACGCATGTTGTAGAAGCCGAGAGAGGTTCTGCTGAGGGTGGCACAGCCATCAGGCCCTTTGCCGGGAAGGGGGCTCAGGTTGGTGGCATGGAGATCACTGTGACTTGGGTAAGAGCAGATGCACCCCACCAGAAAGGTTGGAAACGCCACTATAGATTCCCCCAAAAGGCTGTCCACATCGCTGAGTTGCAGTGTCATAGATTTTACAGGAACTGGTCACTGTTTGAAACGAGTGGGCTTTGGGTATTTATTCATTTGCATTTTGGCCACAAAGAAGCTAATTTTCAAGGACTCAGTTCTGCTGAATATTCTGGTGCTCCCTCCGAAGTCCGACAAGCCAAGACCCTCTGAGCCCTGTGGTCTAAGCGCCCCTGGAGGGCCGGGACCAGATTTCAGACGCCCTGTCAACACAGTCCCTACGCTGAGCCCTGAGTCACGACATGGCTTTGGGACCTACCAGGTCCTAACCCACAAAATAGGGTCCCTCTCAGGCCAGGGACCACAAAGGCTAAACTGGGCCCACAAAAGAAGCTTCAGAAATCCAGGACATCCTTGGTTTCCAAGCAGTTTCCTGTTGAGGCTGCAAACAACTGGGGATAGAATACGGTTTCTAGGTTTTTCTCAGTGAAGACCTCGTGTCATGTTGTTGACTGGTGTTCCTGTGGAACTTCGGGGGTGGGGTGGGTTGAAGGGGTGTCACACTGTCCTTTCCTTTTTTTTTTTAATTAATATATTTTATTGATTTTTTTACAGAGAGGAAGAGAGAGGAACAGAGAGATAGAAACATCGATGAGAAAGAATCATCGATCAGCTGCCTCTTGCATACCCCCTACTGGGGATGTGCCCGTAACCAAGGTACATGCCCTTGACCGGAATCGAACCTGGGACCTTTCAGTCCACAGGCTGATGTTCTATCCACTGAGCCAAACCGGTTTTGGGACACTGTCCCTTCTTTAACACAGCTGCCTTGTGGCGAAAAGGAACAGAATGCCACTTCTTCAACACAGCCTCCTCCTTCTACCAAGTGGAAACACTCTCCTCCTTTGTGCTTTGAGTGGCTCTCTGGGGCCTCCCTTACTCAGGAAATCATGTTAAGCTGTCTTTCTTGCCTCGGACAGTCACCCTCACACTGAGCGATAGTGTGCAGATTCATTGCCCAGGGCTGTGCATGGCTGTCCTCAGTCGCCTCATGGAGCATCTTGCACACAGAGAGCTCCATAGAAACCATTCGACTGAACACTCTAATAAAATACTGCATTTTCTAGTGAATCCTGGGAAGCCTGGCGTTTTGACACCCGGCTCATGAACCGGGAAGACAGGTCTTGGAATCATGATTAAATGTTTCTCTCAGTTTCTCACTATAGAGGCTCAAAAGTCTAGCAAACTTCGAAATTCCTAACGGAGAAGTGAGGCGATGAGGATTGGTGTCTTCAAGCTCCACTGCCACCTCCAGGAAGGGGTAGAGCAGAGTATGTCACTGCGTCCTTGGCGTTTCTAAGCTCTGAGGAGGAGTCAGTTCTGAAGTGTGAGGGAAGCAGGAACTGGGCAGGGGGATGGGTACACGCAGGGAGGGAGGGGGTGGATGCTTACCCGGGTGGGGGCGTCCACTGTGACACCGTGTTTGATCAGCACGTCGGCCACTGAAACGTGGCCTTCTTGTGCGACCAGGTGGAGGGGGGTGAGTCCGCTCTGGAAAGAAAAAATAAAAGAATTACATTGTCTCATAGCCAGTAAAGGGTTCCAGGCCACAAAGGAAGAGCGGAGGTCTGGGAACCGAACCTGGCTCTGCGGCCGCCAACCTGCAAACTCCCCCAGCTCTGGGCCTTTGTACCCTCCTCTAAAACATGAGGTTAAAGTTAGTCAGAGGTCAGTAACATTTTCTATGAAGGGCCAGATCGTCAATATTTTCCGCTTGTATCTCTCTTGCAACTACCCAACTCGGGCTGGTTACAGTGAGAAAGCAGGGATGGCCGACATATGAACAAATGGGGCATGTGTGTTCCAATAAAACTTTATTTGCACAAACAAGTGGTGGGCCGGGTTGGGCCAATAGGTCCAAGTTTGCTGACCTCTGAACCAGATGAGCTTTATGTACTATTCCCAAGATTCAAAATGAACCTCAGAGCCTTTCGTCTCCTTATCTAGAAAATATGGATTATCACCGATATATTTCAAGATCTCTTGAAAAAGATAAAAATGCCCTGAAAAGTACGATGTGCCATCTAATTAGATCGCAGCCAGTGCTGCACTGTTAAAAGGATAGAGGATCTCTTGCTGGAACTAAAAACACCATATACTTGGACTTCTCATCAGAGCTTTCTCATGAAGATAGTCATGCACCAGAAATCTCATTAGATTTGTATACATTCCCTGCAAAATGTCAGACAATGCATGCTTTCCTGAAGCTGTATTATGTTCATTTATCATCTAAAGAAGTGGCTCTGTGTAGTGTATTGAAGATCCAGAATAGGCACGTTCACAGTGACAGAAAGTGCCGGGGACTGGGGGCTTGGTGGACATGGGAAGTGACCGCTAACACGTATGAGGTTTCCTTTCGGGGTGATGGGAATGTTCTGAAATTAGATCGTGGTGATGGCTGCCCAATTCTACAACTAAACCAAAACCCACTGAACAGTACAAGGCAAACGGGTGAATTTTACGGTATGTGAATTACAGTTCAATAAAACTATTTTTAAAAAGAAGTGACGCTTAGTTTTTCTTGGGTCATGCAGTCCTAGGAGAGGCCAGTGAAAACCATGAAGACTTCATCCAGAGAAATGCTCACAGGCCATCCTCCCAAAATGTTGTGTACAAACTTGAAAGGTTTCAGACTCAGATGCTAGCAATCCCTGGATAGAGAACTCCTGTTTTAATGTATAGACTGGCATTTAAAAAAAAATATCCTCCCTGTTGAAAAAGAATGGTTAGTACCAAATTACTAAAAATATTCCTGAATGTCATACTGGCCTGTAGTTGGGAATGTGTATTATGGATTTTATTATTGACCTTTCTGCTGATTCTTGAACCCATCTATTGAAAAGGAGCCAGCAAGGGCTTTGGCATCAGAGAGGCCTCAGGCCATGTAACCTTGGGAATATGCAACCTCTCGGAATCAGTTTTTTCACTTATAAAACTAAGATAAAAGCTGCAAAGGGCTGCTGTAAGGATTGCACACACACACACACACACACACACACACACACACCACCTAATTCAGAACCTGCACACACACACACACACACACACACACACCACCTAATTCAGAACCTGCACACACACACACACACACACACACCACCTAATTCAGAACCTGCACACACACACACACACACACACACACACCACCTAATTCAGAACCTGCGCGCACACACACACATACACACACACACCACTTAATTCAGAACCTGGGCACCCAGGGGGTGCCCGATTTCAGACATAATGCCCAACTAGCCAACATGAAACGATGGCTGAGCCCCCAGGGCCAGCCAGGAGGCCCCATGCTTACCTTGTTCCCCAGGTTGCCATTGGCTTGTTTGGAGAGTAGCAGGGCCACCATCTCTGCATGGCCCTCCTGGGCAGCCAGGTGAAGGGGTGTCACGCCTTGCACCGACTCTGCGTTCGGGGACGCCCCGTACTGCAGCAGGTTGCGGGCCACCTCCATCTGGTTCTGCTTGGCAGCGATGTGCAAAGGGGTGTAGCCATTCTGGAACAGAGGGATGGTTCCAGGACTGCTGAGCAGAGGACATGAGCACCCACCTCACATTTAATCCTCTGGGGAAAGGAGGGGGGGTGCGGGGGGCGGGAATCAGGCCTGGGCCTTGGCTGGCTGGACACCGCCTCCTCTGCACCCCCCTCTCCCAAGCAGGGCTGGTGTCACCCAGGAGGGCAACTTCAGGAAACAAATAAACAAGCCACGTCTATGTGATTTGGGGCCAGTGAAGTCCTGTGCCTTTTCTCACCATCTATGTCCTCTATCGGGCTCTGATAAACCGCTGTACAGGGAGTGCTCTCACTGACAGATGCAGCAAGTAGGCTGCCTATAGAACCCCTAGGAAACTAGGTAAGCAAGAAAATGCAAGGTTCCCTCTCCCTCCTTCCTGCTTTAAGAACAACCCCCCAACATGTCCCTGTGCGCTGGGCCACGTGCTCCCTGGACTTGCCGGCGTCAGGCAGGTGGAGGAAGAGGACACGTGCCTGCCTGGCAAGGGACTTGGAGACATGGAGTAGGCTCTGTTCCGCTCCGACGAGCCGTGCAATGCACGCAAGCTCTTCAGCAACGTCTAGACTTCCGTTTGTATTTTTTAAACATCTACCTCGTTCTCAGAGTTGTTGAATAGATCGAATACAATAATATTTGAAGGCACTTTCCAAAAGTAAGATATAAGAGTCATTTCCCAACTGGCATGACTCAGTGGTTGAACATCCCTTATGATCCAGGAGGTCACGGTTCGATTCCTGGTCAGGGCACAGGCCTGGGTTGTGGGCTCGATCCCCAGTGTGGGGTGTGCAGAAAGCAGCCAGTCAATGCTTCTCCCTCATCATTGCCCTCTCCCTTCTTCTCTGAAATCAATATATATATATATATATATATATATATATATATATATATATATATATATTTTTTTTTTTTAAAGATCTAAGAGTAAGAAAGCTTGGTATGGCCCACGGTGAGATAAAGGAGCTGGCCCCAATGTCAGCTTTGTCACCGTGCCCTCAGTATTCAGCCGCCCTTCCCTTTTCCTTTTCTTCTTGGTGGTAGGACTTTCTCAATGAAGGAAGCAGCGTGTAGATTTACGTTCAGGAGTAGGCTCCTTACCCCACTGCGGGCAGGTGACCACGACTTTGGTCATCACCGTCACCACTGAAACCACCTTCCCTTACATCGTCCCTCTTTAGCGTCACCGCCACCAAGGAGGCCTTTGGATTATTTCCCCACTTTGTGGATAAGTAAGCCAGTTCTCCGGGAGGCCAAGTGCCTTATCCGGTGTCACCTAGTAAATGGAACAGCCGCTGGCCCGAGCCTGGCTTTCTGACTCCAGATCCCAGCTTCTTCCAGCGGGAGCTGCGCTTCTAACACTTCAGTGTGTCTCGGGGTTTTTGTTAAAATATAGATCCTGTCCCAGAAGCTCTAGGGCAGTGGTCCTCAACCTTTCTAATGCCAAGAACCTTTATTACAGTTCCTCATGTTGTGGTGAGCCCAACCATAAAATTATTTTCGTTGCTACTTCATAACTGTAATTCTGTTACTGTTGTGAATCATAATGTACATATCTGTGTTTTCTGATGGTCTGAGGCGACCCTGCTAGCGGTCAAAGTAGCAACGAAAATAATTTTATGGTTGGGGGTCACCACAACATGAGGAGGTGTATTAAAAGGTCGCGGCATTAGAAAGGTTGAGAGCCACCGCGCTAGGGAGACCCAAGATTCTGCGTTCCTAACAAGCTCTCCGGTGATGCTGATGCTGATGGTCTGAGAGCCACAGTTTGAGGATCATGGTCCCAAAGCACTCAGGGCCCAGGGTGGGTGCCAGGCCTGAGGGCCTCGGAGCTGGACCATGACTGTGTGAGCACATGTCCACCCAGCCCCAGAGCAGATGGCATAAGGCATATGGGCCCCCACCCTGCCAGCATGCTTCGTGTGGGCCCAGAGAACTGAGTCTCTCCTGCCAGCCACGGTCTTCCTGGAGAAACCAACATTTCTGATTCTGCCAGGACCACTGATGAGAAAATAGGAAAAGGTGTGAGAGGGGAGGAGAGGAGAGACGGGCTGACCAATACAGTTTTATAGCACTGGGGGACAGGAGCAGAGCCAGCTGCCAAGTGGGTTTTCATGGAGAAATGAGAAGTTGCAGCTTACCCCCCAAAAAAGAAATTGAATTAAAAAAAAAAAGCATTCCCTTTAAATAATGATGTAAGATAATTCATTGGGAGTGTTTCTCCTTTTTAATTTGATTATGTTACAAGAACACATTACATTCTTCTGTGTAGGTTGTTTTCCCATAACAGGATGGCATTTTGATATAATAAATACAGGTAATTAAACAAAATGAGTTTTGTACTGTATCAAAAGAGCACCGTGAAGAAAAGAGGTGTGGTTCGCTGGGTCAGGCCTGAGGTTTGGAGCAATCCCTACGCGGAGATCACTCTCTCTGCGGTGAGTGCCATCGGGGGAGTGTCTGCTCAGGACAGCGGTCTGGGTGAGCTGGGAGGAGGCAGCTGAACACCTCGCGGGTGCCTGGCCCCCAGCAGGCAGTCCCTGCACAAAAGCAGCGATGCCTAGGACTTCTGTCCGTGTACAAAGGGCAGTCACTGGAGCAATGTGAAGTCTATTCAGGAAAGTATGTTAGGAGTCCCAGGCTCTTGGGCATCTGTGGATGTCACACTGGCAAGGATAGTCCCCTGTCCTGCCAAAGGGCACTCGGGCCCTGGCGGTGGCTCTGGCTGCCAGGTGACCGAGGTTAAAGCTGAGATACAACTGCCAGTTTCAAAACAGGGACCGACCGGCCCTCTGAGCTCTCCCGAAACCAGGACAGAAGGGGACGAATGACCTGTAGGTGACAAGGACAAGGAGCAAGGAGGCAGGGAGAGGTCAGGGAGAGCAAGGTGCCCATCCAAGGCTCTGCTTTCCCCAGGAAATGAGCTCACCTAAAGGCATGCCCGCTGGAGGGAGAGAGAGAGAGCTCCTGGGATGTTAGAACAACATTAGCATCAAAATTAGAAAGGGAAGGATTTGGTTTGGGTGCCGAGAGATCTGCATGAGAAATTCTACAAAATTGCCAGACGACTTGGTAAACTATTTTTTGCCATGGAAACAAAACCCATCTGTACAGTGTTTGTGCGTGGATAAAATCTCTCCTTAAATACCACGGACCTGGCTCTGGTTTCTTCGCTGCAAGGAGGGGGTGGGAGGAGGAGGGGAGCCCAGCCTTTTATTTTTAGACGCAGGAGTAAGTCACATCATCGCGGGGCCGCATGCTCCGTCTACACCGTGACGTGGGCTCTGCTACAACCGCGGCGGGGACGGAGCCCAAGGAGACAGGGGCGCCGGGGAGACACTGCCCGCACATGGGGATGCTGTGAAATTCAGAGCATCCCTTCCGAAGAGGGAGGACGAACAGAAGGCCCCCACACTGATCTTTCCTGACTGCCCTGAGTCCCCACCACGTCGGCAGGTGTCACCAACGCACCTGACAGCTCCCTCCTCAGAGGCAGCAGGCACACTCCTGCTGCTTAGCTGAGCACTGGGGTTTGCTCCCCAGAACTTATCCTTCCGAGCATCTGCTGGCGACTGGAGAGCTCCGGAATGCAGGGACTGCCTGTGTCCTTCCCCAGGCCCTGCTCCCTCGCCCGGTCCCTCCTCCCAGTGCGGCCACCAGCCCCACAACTACCCTCTCATCCCACAGGGGGCAGCCTGTCCTCAAAAATCGATCCTCTGTCCAGCTTCCTCCCAACACCTTGGATCACCCCACCCCCACCCGCCAGACTGGCCTTACATAAGCCAGCCTGTCCGCTCCCTTCCCTCCCTTCCCTCCCGTGGCCAGGAGGCTGCTGCCCCGAGCTGGCGTTTCAGAGGCTACAGGAGGCCGGCACACTGGTCATGTGTCTACACACGACATACATGTAGTCCTAAATCCATCGTCTAAAAACACCACGACCTAAAAGTCTGAACTCACAAGGGGAATAGATTGGGGGTGGGGGAGGGATATTCTCATTCAAAATTGGTCCGTCCCTTCAAGGTTCCGGCAAGTTCACTCACAGCCCTGCAGAGTTCTCACCGTGCGGTCACTGGGCTGGAGCGAGGGTAGTGAACGCACTCCACATGGAGGCGCCTGTGCGAGCTGACCTTGGAGGGAGGGCCCACCTGCAAAACCCAGCGGACATTCCGCGCTCGGGGGACATGTTATTGTGTAGAAAGAACCCACCTCTGTGAGGTGACTTGATGCTAAGAAGTGCCACCCGCTTCCCACCCGACTCCTGGTCCCCAAACAGTGGCAAACACATCGCAGGGGAGAGCTGAGAAAGGGAGGCGAGATTTCTGAGGCAGAAATCAAAGCAAGACACCAGAGCCCGCTGGCTGCTCCTGGAACAGCCCTCCCTGGAGGAAGGCAGGCAGCTGGGCCCCGGGCTCCTCTGCGGGGACCGGGGAGGCTTACCCAAGCAGGACTGTGCGGGGAGCCGCCCCGCGGGAGCAGCAGCTTGACGATGTCCAGGTGGTTGTGATGGACGGCCACGTGCAGGGGAGTCAGGCCGTTCTGCAGGGGGGAGAGGGGGCCAACAGAGAGATCAGCCTTCACTCAGTGCACTTGCTTCTTAGAGGCCCCCTGAGCTGTAGCAGCACCATGCTGGGGCCCAGTTCACTTATTTTATGCAGGTAAAACCTGGTTAAAACCATTCCAGGACCCCCTGGCTGGTTTTCTCAGTGGTTAGAGCACTGGCCCACGGACCACAGGATTGTAGGTTTGATTGCCACAGTCAAGGGCACCTACCTGGGTCAGGGCGTGTGTGTGGGAGGCAACCCATCAAGGTGTCTCTCCCTTTCCTTCCTTCCCTCCCTCCTCCCCTCTCTCTAAAAACAATCAAAGGAGAAAATAAAATACTCCTGTGTGGATTAACAAAAACAACAACAAAATCATTCCAGAACCAGTCTTGATCAGAAGTCACGAAGGGCACAAGCAGCCGGACCCAGGGCCACCTCCTCACTCCTGCTGGGCCCGATGGGGCAGCGCCATCAGCAAACTCACTCTGAGAAGACCAGGAGGTCTTTCTAGAAGGTCAAGACCCTTGACAGAAAGACCAGTCTTCCTAAAGGTCATTCTCTCTGGATCGCTGCCCAGGAGGAGATGGAGAAGAGGGGCTTAGGCACACAAGTGGCGCGTCTGCCTTTCACTCTAGCTTCTAGCCCGAGAGAGGGCGGCGAGGGCATGCTCACCTTCCCGGCGGCGTTCGGGTGTGCGTCCCGCTCCAGCAGCACCTCTGCCACCCGGGCCTTCCCGTACTTGGCCGCCACATGGAGAGGGGTAAATCCTTTCTGAGGAGAAACACAGGCTGTCAGAGCCCCGGGAGCCACAGCCGTCCTCCCTGGAGCAGGGTCCGGGGCAGAGGCAGTGTCCCCCCTTACCAAGCGTGGAGACACCCTCAAATAAAGGACCCGGGATTTCTGATCCCTCCGAGAGGCCAAGGTTTCCTCCCCCAGCCTGCCCTTCTCGTAGTGAGCAGAAAGCCATCTTTGGTTGTGATTTGACCATTAGCTCGTTGAAGGCAGGGGTTGAGTCTTACTCCTAATATCCTCAGAACCTGCTGGTTTGTCTAGAGGAGGTGCTGAGCCAATAGCGATGGTGAGATAAATTTGCATGAAGGCTGAGCGGGTGACTGGGAAACTACAGTCCACCCCTTTCTGGGGCAGAACCATGACACAGCAGGCTCCCAACTGGTGGCCAGTCCTGTGAGTGCTGGTCCAGCTCTACCCCCGCCTCTGCTTTCAGCACGATGAAGGCAGCACAGAGGGTCGGGAAGGAATGCTGCTCCCTTGCCCCCAGGCCCAGCAGTGAGTGGCCTGGGGCAGTCACGGCCAGAGAACAGGAGGAGGAGGCTGTACCTTGGTCATGCACGCCTGGGACGCTTCCTTTTCCAGAAGGGCCAGCGCCGTGTCCACGTGGCCCTCTCGAGCTGCAATGTGCAGGGGGGTGTGCCCGGCAGTGGTGGCCAGGTTGGGGTTGGCACTGTTTTCTAGCAGGAGCTTCACCATGTTTGTGTGGCCAATGCGAGCTGCACAGTGAAGGGGGGTCTGGTCATCCTGGAATCCGGAGTGGAAAAGAAGAAGAAGGAATACCAAGGTTAACTAATCCAACGCTCCGTCTTACAAAGAAGGGAGGGGGTGCCCAGAGAGGTGAGTGACTTTCTCAAGGTCACACAGCTAGTTCCATAGAGGTGGCATTCACATCACATCTCTGAGTTACAGAAACCGATATGCTATCGCTTGTTTAATCCTTACAACAGCCTCTCAAGCTAGTAGTTATTTCTACCTACCTGCCCAACGGCTTAGCCTTCCCCTCTGTGAAGTGGGGATAATAATATCAACCTCCTAGACCAGTGTTTCCCAAACTTTTGACATATGGGTACCCCTTCTATAATTTTCGTAACGCTGAGTACCCCTCGCACTCATGAGAACGTAGAATTAGGCACAGCTAAGCACGGTGCAGTGCATATCCCCACCAAACTGCTGTGCAACGTGTACCCCCACCAAGCTCTTCCCGTACCCCTGGGGGTACACTTTGGGAAACACTGTCCTAGACTATAATTAGGATCAAGCAGGGAGTGTGGATAAGATGTTTCACACAGCGTTTGGGAGGTGATACCAAGTTGTAGTGGTGATTACCGTGTCCCAAGCCACATCTGAGTGGACACCACATCTACGTCTTGGACACTGCTTTGGGTTTCTCTATGCCAAGGGTCATTAGAGTCTAAACTGTTGAAGGGGAAACATGACTTCTTCAGCCCATCCCAAGCCTTCCTGTTCATGCCTAATGCTGAAGGGGTTCAGTGGCTGAGGTCTCTGAGTTGTCGGGCCCAAGTTGGGGGGCCCCCCTTACATGGCCCAGCCGGAAACCAGAGTCTTAACTCTAAGCAGAGCTTCTGCCGCCTGTGGGGTAGGAAAGTCTGGTCTTGGCCAAAGCCAACCAACCTCCTGACTCAGCAGCTAGTCTTAGTCTTCACCACCGGACCCTCGACATGCCTCTTACAACAAGGGGGAGGCGTCCGTGTTTAGATCAAGTCATTTTTGACTGATTCTCACTGGCAACACTTTCTTTAAAAAGTCGCTTCTCTTCTTATACCAAGGCTGTAATCACCCTGAAACCCTTTCAGCCCAATTAGCACTGCAGGCCAGCCACGCTCCTGGACTTGCATCATCCTGAAGACACGTAGCTCCGAGCAGGCCCATCTCTGGCCTTGTCAGGACCCCCACCAAGCAGGACCGAGTGTCTGGTGCGATGGCCACGGAAACGTCAGGGAATCATTGTGCCCCCAGCGCTGTGGCCAGGCCCTAATCAGGGTGGGGTCTCCGCATGGGGCTTGGATTGCTTGCGTCCCAGGGCCCTCCCCACCTCCAGGACACACCTTGGCCTTGGCATTGACTTTGGCTTTGTTCTGGAGCAGATATTTGGCAACGTCCGTGTGCCCTGCCCTGGCTGCCATGTGTAGCGGGGTCTCCACTTTCTGTAAAATAAGGAAATTACAGGCCTGTTAACACATGCTGCGCTTCCAAAAGAGAACACACAGGGCTCCACAGTGTGAGCCTGGAGAAGGCTGGCAGGTTTCTGTCCAAGAGGCGGAGTCGCCCCAGCAAGCAGCTCCTTCAGCCTACAGCCTGCTGATGCCCAGTGTGTGTGTGTGTGTGTGTGTGTGTGTGTGTGTGTGTGTGTGTTCTAAGTATACACACAGGTAAACCCAGGAGCTCATGAATGATTAAAAATGCAAATGTATTCCCAGATAACACAGAAGTTCCCAAATTGTTGTCCAAAATACATCCCCTAAAATTTGCAGAGGTGTGCCAAGTTTAATTTGGAAAGTGTCAGGATATATGGATGTTCTTCCTAGTTTGAAGCCTCTGCTCTTCTGAGAATTATTCTCTATCCCCAAACAGGAGCTCGAGGGACCACTGGCTAAAGCGGTCCCCTGAGTGCTCCTGGGCCAGTGTGTCAGTGCCCCCTGAGTGCTCCTGAGCCAGTGTGTCAGTGCCCCATGAGTGCTCCTGAGCCAGTGTGTCAGTGCCCCCTGAGTGCTCCTGGGCCAGTGTGTCAGGCCCCCTGAGTGCTCCTGGGCCAGTGTTTCAGCCCCTGAGTGCTCCTGGGCCAGTGTGTTGGGCCCCCTGAGTGCTCCTGGGCCAGTGTGTCAGCAGCCCTGAGTGCTCCTGGGCCAGTGTGTCAGGCCCCCTGAGTGCTCCTGGGCCAGTGTGTCAGGCCCCCTGAGTGCTCCTGGGCCAGTGTGTCAGGCCCCCTGAGTGCTCCTGGGCCAGTGTGTCAGGCCCCCTGAGTGCTCCTGGGCCAGTGTGTCAGCGGCCCTGAGTGCTCCTGGGCCAGTGTGTCAGGCCCCCTGAGTGCTCCTGGGCCAGTGTGTTAGGCCCCCTGAGTGCTCCTGGGCCAGTGTGTCAGCAGTCCTGAGTGCTCCTGGGCCAGTGTGTCAGGCCCCCTGAGTGCTCCTGGGCCAGTGTGTTGGGCCCCCTGAGTGCTCCTGGGCCAGTGTGTCAGGCCCCCTGAGTGCTCCTGGGCCAGTGTGTCAGGCCCCCTGAGTGCTCCTGGGCCAGTGTGTCAGGCCCCTTGTGTGCTCCTGGGCCAGTGTGTCAGCCGCCCCCTGAGTGCTCCTGGGCCAGTGTGTCAGCGGCTCTCTGAGCTCTTGGTGTGGAGAAAAGAGCCCTTGCTGTTCCCCGGGCTTACCACGTTGGAGACGTTGGGCGATGCCCCCCGCTGCAGGAGGTTCTTCACGATGGGCAGGTGCCCCATGAAGGAGGCCACGTGGAGAGGGGTCAGGCCGGACTGGAACAGAAAAGAGGAGTGAGAAGGAGAGGACTGCCCCCCTCCTCCAAGGCAGAGACAGCCGGATGTCGCTATAGCTTTCCTGCCTCCAGCTGCTCTAGACTAGTTTTCCGAGAAAAGGGAATTAAATGGAATGGGTTCATCTCCAGGAAAATGGCTGGAGGGAAACCGACACTCATGACAGGATGATTCTGCCCACTTTTACAACTCAAAGAATCGTATCTGATCTTGGAAAGGTAGCTCCCTGATACTTGACACATGTTCCCTTGTCTCGGTCACCCCCAGTATGCTCTAGACTTGCATGACATGCACACTCCTGTGGCCATTCATGGCTACACAGGAAACTCTCCAGGAGGTTATGGGAGGAAACCTGCAGAGTTTCTCCTACCTCCGTGACAGCGTCGATGGAGGCTCCTGTCTTCAGCAGCAGCTCCATGACCCGGATATGGTTCTTCTTGCAGGCGATGTGTAAGGGGGTGAAGCCATTCTGCAGCCCCGCACAAAGGGAGACAAACAAGCGGGCGCTCACACGCCAGCCCAAGGGGCACCCAGGCCGCCTGGCTGAGTGAGAGGCTGCCCCAGCCTGTCAGCAACTTCCCACCAGAGCGTCAACGGCTGCAGATCACTGCAGAGGCAGGTGGCGCTCACTGTCGGCACCAGGCGCGTTCCTGAGCTTGTTGGCTATAAACCTTTTCTGGAAATGTAATCATCTTCTTGGATGCAAGGAAAGAGCCTGCTGTTTAACGTTTCCTCAAGGGGAAATTTACACGAAAGAGTGTGTTTGCGAAGCCAATCACGTTCCCTCTTCCCAGAGACCGATGCTCATGTTTAGTAAAACGGATTTCTGCGCATCAGCTCTGCCCTACAGTGATACGCTAAAGCGTAAACGCCACCAGGGCGGGGATATTTGCTTGCTTGTTTTTGTCTGTTCATGGGTGTTTTTTCGGTGATACACCCCCCCAGGGCAGTGGTCGGCAAACTGCGGCTCACGAGCCACACGCAGCTCTCGAGCCTCGGTTTGCTGCTCTGTTGACGAATGAGTTTGCTGACCACTGCATGAGGCATTACCCTTACCCAGAGGTTTTGACTTCAGGTTAAAGACATCAGTACATTATTAACATGTTTTTTTGTTTGTTTTTTTTAAGTGTTTTTCCCTAAGGCAGTGGTAGGCAAACTCATTCGTCAACAGAGCGGCAAACCGCAGCTCACCAGCCACAAGTGGCTCTCGAGCCACAGTTTGCCGACCATTGCCCTAGGGCAGTGGTTCTCAAAGTGTGTGTGTGTGTGTGTGTGTGTGTCCCACCCCCACCCCGGGGACATGTGGCCATGTCTGGAGAGGTTTTGATGGTCACCACTGAGAAGAGATGCTATGAGCACCCAGCAGGTAGAGGCCAGGGCTGCTGCTACACATCCTCTCGTGCACAGGGCAGCCCCCCTGCCACAAAAAGCATCAGGCTCAACGTGTCAGCAGCGCTGAGGCTGAGACACTCCGACCACCTGGAATAGGGCCCTGCTTGTGGCACGAGCTTGATGAGTTTTCTGAATGAGTGATTGAACCATCCTTGCAGTCTCTGGAGGCTACTGTGCCTTCCAAATTCTCTCCCTCTGAAAAGGGGTCCTGGGAAGGCTCTGAGCAGAGCTCTGGACCCCCAGGTCCCTGAACCATCCAGGAGGGGATGAGCTTTAGGCCTGAACTCACCTCTGCAGGAGCAGCATGAACTCTCTGCAGAGGAAGGATGCATACTTAGCCCAGGCCATTTATTCGCCCACAAAGCATATGAAGCCAGGCAGTCTCTGAGGAATCACTATCTCTCGGCTTCAGGCCCAGGTCAAAGGGAGTGGCACCTCCAGCAAACCATGAACTCTGCTTCCTGAGTCAGGGCTCCTGGGCCCAAAGCCTCCCCTCACCTCAGCCTGTTCCTGGGGCTGCCACCAGCAGGGGTCACTGTCCTGCCTGTGCATCACCATGCCCCATGAGCATGCACCGACACCTCCCAGGTCAGTGCCCCTCGGCTGAGCAGCTCTGGTCCTGCCTCCCTTGGTCCTGGCCTTCCTGGCACCTTCTCCAACAGCCTCCCACTCACCAGGGCTCTGGAGTTTGGTTTGGCCCCTTTATCCAAAAGGACCTTGGCCACTCTGTGATGGCCGCAGTGGGCTGCCACGTGGAGAGGGGTCAGGTGATCCAGGGTGATGTCATCTATCTCTGCGTTGTATTGCAATAGAAGTCGAACACAGTCAAGGTGGTCTCCCTGAGCCGCCATGTGAATTGGGGACAAGCCGTTCTGGGTGGAGAGGGAAGAAAGCAATCACAAAGGCTTCTGGAGACAGAGCACAGTGGTTCAGGGCAATGACTCCACCCTCACTTCCTGCTTCTTCCCCACACGATGCAGCGTGTGGAGATGGGGTCACTGTAGATGCAGTTAGTTAAGATGAGGTCATTAGTGTGGGGCCTATGCCCATTTTATTGCTGCCCTTATAAAAAAGAGAAATTTGGCTTGGCTGGTGTGCCTCAGTGATTGAGCATCAATCCGTGAACCAGGAGGTCATGGTTCAATTACCGCTCAGGGTACATACCTGGGTTGTGGGCTCATCCCCAGTGGAGGGAAGAGGGTCAAGGTGTGCAGGAGGCGGCTGATCAATGATTCTCTCCAATCATTGATGCTTCTCTCTCTGTCCCTCTCCCTCTCCCTTCCTTCTGAAACCAATAAAAACTTTTTCTTTTTTAAGGAGGAATTTTACACAGACATACACACAGGGAGAATGCCGTGCGAAGATGAGGAAGAGATCTTGGTGATGCTTCTACAAGCCAGAGACTCCCCCAAAACCACGAGAAACCGGGGCAGGGAAGGGGAACCAGGAGAAGATTCTCCCTCATGGCCTCAGAGGAGCCAACCCTGCTGACCCTGACCTCCAGACTGTGCGACAATAACCATCTGGGGTTTAAGGCCCCTCTCCCAAGGTGTGGCTCTTTGTTATAGCAGCCCTAGCATAACACACTTCCTTCCACTCACTGCATTTAAACAGGTCATACCATATTTCCCAATTGAAAAGAAGGAAATCCTCAGTAAAGAATTTTCATGACCATCTTTTTTTAGTCCCATTTTAATAATCTAGATAATATAAGAGCATTACTAAGTTAGGACATTTGCGAGTTTAAAAACAGGCCCTCTGTGGAAACATGTTCAGAATTTCCTGACCCTAATAAGCGGTAGTAGCAATTATACCTCCACTTCTCTGAGGACTTTTGCTTTTAAAGATGTACTTTCAAAGATGTTATTTCATGTCATCATCCCTGTAACCCTGGGAGAGAGGAGGAGAGCTCTCCAGATGAAGAAACGGAGGCACAGAGGGAGTAAGAGGCAAGCTCAAAGGGGCACAGAGGCACAGCAGCCTTGGATGGAGGATTCAATGAGATATAAACTTGCTTAGTCGAGGATACCTTCACCCAACACACACACACACACACACACACACACACACACGCCAGCTTGGTGCTGTGAATCATGACCCAAATTGCAGAGAGCTCTGTAGAATACTCACATGATCATTTGTCAGGAAATAAATGCCTTGCATGGGTAAGAACTATGCTACAACTTTATGACATAAAACTTCTCACAGAAAACCTCCAGAGTGGCCCTACTGGGTCTGGTTTCTGCCTCCCTATTCTAAACTCACATCCTTTCAATTCACCCCGAAGAATGGGGAACGGGGCCTGGTGGGCAACACCGGGTAGTCTGACAATGTTAGCCCCAGGAAGACTCAAGACCTGCTATGAGAACTGATGGATAGGCCATGGCTGTGGCTCCTGTCTTTTCTGGAGCCAGGGTGAAGTGGACAAGGACTGATCTAAAGCTATGGACAATCACAGCCTGGGGGTCAAATCCGGCCTGTTGGCTGTGTTTGTAAATAAAGTTTTATTGGAACATGGCTGCTAGTTTGCATATTATCATCCATGGCTACTTTCCTGCTATAATGGTGGAATTGAGTCATTGAGACAGAGACCATGGCCTGCAAAGCATGAAAATATTTACTACCTGGCCCTTAGAGAAAATTTTGCTGACCCCAGTCAAGATAATCATAAGGGCTATACAGAGCGCCTCGTATGCAACGAGCATTGGGCAGTCACACACTCCGACTCAGTTAGCAGGATTAGGATCCCGAGCTGGCCTGGCCTGGAGCCCCGCCTATAAGACACTCCTCGTGGGAAGGAGGCACGCACCTTGGTTTTGGCTTGGATGGGTGCCCCGTGGTCCAGCAGGATCTCTGAGATTCGCACGTGCCCATTCCGAGCTGCACAGTGGAGAGGTGTCAATTCATCCTTTAAAAAACAGAGTCACAGAGAGAAAGCCCCAAAGGCACCCATCAGAGGCCGCTGGAGAGAAGGCTGCCCCAGCATCACTCCCACCGCAGAAGCACAATGCCTCCTGAAGGACCAGCTTGACTCCATTACTGTCTTGTTATTGCCTCCTGCTGCCCCCTGTCTCCCGCTGTGTGCTGCTCCGGGAGGCTGCAGGCCCACCACCAGCTCATCACCCAAACCAACCACCCGGGTTAGACTCTGGAAGATAGACTCCCTCCCTGGCCTTGCCACGGGGCCCGCTGGCACCCACCTTGGTCCTTGTTTCTATCAGGGCCCCGCGGTCCAGCAGGAGCCGCACCATGATCACGTTCCCTCTGCGGGAGGCGATGTGCAGTGGCGTGATGCCGTTCTGGAGGGAGAACAGGACCAGTCAAGGGTGTGCATCCTCCTGGGGAAAGCAGCTGCTTCCTCCCACTACCCCTCCTGCCCCCCACCCGCCCCGCAACAGCAGCAGAACTAACATTAAGCCTACGGCGAGGACACGTCTTGCCAAAGAAAGATTCAAAACCTGTATTATTGTTGTTAACCACAGCACGTTGGCCCAGCCCAGGTCTCCCAGAGTCAGCACACGGAGAAAGCAAACCAGTCCCACCCTCCAGGTTTTCCCCCTCTAGAAGGGGCACAGGAAGACTGAGGGGCGGGTGTGTAGAAACCTACCAAAGAGGAGCCACAACCCCTCCTGCAATTGGGGGAATTCATGCTGCCATAGGAGAGAGGTGGGGGCATCTAGACTCTAGGCCCCCTGAGCCCTAACCAGCCAGAGAGCTCACCTGTGGCGTGAAGTTGACACTGGCTCCCCGGTTGAGGAGTAACTGGGCCACGTTGAGGTTCTCATAGTGAGCTGCGATGTGGAGGGGGGTAAATCCTGTCTGGGGCACAACAGAGGGGGGACATCTTGTCACGTGCCATGTACTGTCATTTCTATCTCAGCATCAGCCCAGGGATTCCAACAACGCCGGCCAGGCCATAGGACCCCACACATCAAGCAGAGTTAGGCTGATGAGCACATTTGCTGGAGGGGTCCAGAGAGTCTGTGACAGGTTACATTCAAAATCCAGGTGAAAATTATTTGCAAAACTATGTGCACCCCTATATTCATTATAGCATTATTCCTGGTGGCCAAGACGTGGAAACAACCAAAGTGTCCTTCATAGATCACTGGATAAAGAAGATGTGCTACATTCTCTGCCATAAGAAAAGATGGGACGTTTCCATTCCCAACTTGAATGGACCTTGAGAATATCATGCTAAGCAAAAGGAAAAAGTTAAGAACCATCTGATTTCACTCACATTTGGGGTATGAAACTCTAAGCAACAAGTAAACCAACAAAAATAAACAAAAACTCAGAGACACAGACAAGAGGATAGTGGTTACCAAAGGAACAGGGGAGCCAATATGAAGAAAGATGATTTGACTTTGGGTGGTGGGCACACAAAGCAATATACGGATATCTTGTATCATAGAAATGCACACTTGAAACCTACATAATCTTCTTAACCATGTCACCCCAATAAATTAAAAACAAAACAAAACAAAAAAAACCTTACCACCATACAAAAACCTAAAAGATAAAAAGCGAGCCTGGCAGTGAGGGTCAGGGATTGAGTGTTGACTCATGATCCAGGAGGTCACGATTCAATTCCCTGTCAAGGCACATGCCCAGATTGCAGTTAGGAAGTGTGCAGGAGACAGCGGATCAATGATTCTCTCTCATGATTGATGTTTCTATCCCTCTCACCCTTTCTCTTCATCTCTCTGAAATCAATAAAAACATATTTTTAAAAAAATAGGTATTGGCCCTGAGTGACCCACATTCTTTGTTCTGTGGTTCACACGAACAAACCATGGACTAGTATTGCCTCCAACTCTGTGGGCCCTTTCATCAGAGTGCTTACTTATGAGGAGATTTTAATTCATGAGTCAGAAGTGGGATTTGATCCACGATCTCAGTTCTAGGGGTGTTTCAGCCCCCTTACAGGGTATAATGGCGCAGCTGGCTAGTCAAACACAGACATCCGACCTCTTGGTGGGTCTATCGCCACCTTTCTGTTCCATAACCTCAGACCTTACCTACCCCAGTCAGCACTTTTCCAGACCAAACATGGACCATGGGGTGAGGGACCTCTAAGAATAACCCAAATGCAAGTCAATTCCCACAGCAAGAGAAGAAATGAACTACCTAAACTTACACAGAGTGGGTCAGCAGTGACTCAAAACATCAGACAGCACGTCCAGATGGCTAGCTGTGCAGCGCCCCCCCCCAACCCATCCGTCATTCTGCAGGATGACCCTCCATGGTCTCCTCTCCATATGTGGGGTCACTCCCTCCCTCCACCAGGGGGCAGCCAGGAAAACAATATTCTAGAACAGTGGTCAGCAAACTGTGGCTCTTGAGCAACATGCGGCTCTTTGGCCACTTGTGTGTGGCTCTTCCACAAAACACCACATGTGGGCACGCATGTACAGTGCGATTAAAACTTCGTAGCCCATGTGCAGAAGTTGGTTTTCGGCTCTCAAAAGAAATTTCAATCGTTGTACTGTTGGTATTATATTTGGCTCTGTTGACTAACGCGTTTGCCGACCACTGGGCTAGAACACCACCTGCTGGGATTCCAAAGTTTCCCTCTGGGGGGACCCAGCCTGTCCACCTGGACACTTTCTGAATGGCCGAGAACAACAGAAACCTCCCTTGCTCCACGCCAAGCACATTTCCTTCAGTGTCCACCAGGGGGTTACGTGGGGATCCAAGATGACCTCGAGGGGACCTGAAGCCACCGTGGGGCTGGTGCTCCATGCCACAGCTAGCACCACCTCTGGTCGGGGTGAGCTGCCTCTGACACCGGTAGGTCTCCATGGTCCCGGCTCTAGACTTCGCCTGGTGCTCCTCCGTGGGGCTGCCCTCACCTTGGAAAGCACGTCCGGGTTGGGGTCGTTCTGCAGGAGCACCGCCGCCGTCCGGGTGTCGTCGTTGCGGGCCGCGATGTGCAGGGCAGGGAGGCGCACCTTCCCCTTCGTCCCGTAGTTGATGAGGTGTGCCACCACGTTCTCGTGGCCCTGCTGCAGAGCCACGGCGAGCGGGGTGAAGCCGTCCTGGCCAGAGGGGAGGAGGAAAGGTCGATTTGCTCTGACTGTGGCCGACCCGCGGCTGGCCTCAGGCAGGACCCACATGACCACACCTCAGGGCTCTTGCTCCTAATAGGCCCTCGGCATCCAGTCCTCTGCTCCTCAAAGCCCTCCCACCATCCTCTAAATCCCACGTCAATGCCACCTCCTCCTGGAAGACTTTTCCTACCTCACTCTCCTCTGCAACCTCACAGAACCTACAGTCCTTCTTAAGCACTGACTCACTTTGCCTCTATAATTGGTTCCCAGTCTGAGTGCTATGAGAAGCATTTGTTTCTTTTCCTACCTCTTCTCATCGCAACTCCTGGTGCCAGGACAGTGCCTTAAACATGGTGAACGAGTATTCACTTACTTATTTCATGAAAATTAACGAACACCTACCAAAAGCTAGAAACCATGTCAGGCACCGAGAATTTAATTGTGAATTACTGTTACTCATTCCCTCAGTTGTACACGGGGACCCCATGAGCTGGAGAAGCAGAACAATAACAGAGTCATGTAATCGTTGAGTCTTTACAGCGATAAGGCTCCAGAGAAGCCTTAGCGTCAGGTTCAACGCCATCCTTTCATCAATGACAGATTCAGGATCAGAGTGAATTAACTTGTCTGAGGGTGCACCGTGGATTCATGGCGAGAGACTTTCCCATTAAGGTCCAGAGCAGACCTGTCAATCATACGCAGCTGCCCCACCTCCCCACCCCTGTCCAGCCTTCAGTGTTGGTTATAGCGGAAGCGACATGTTAGACTCTGATGTCATTTCTCTGCTATGTGACTGGGCATTCCCCAAGGCCCACGGCTCTGTCTCTTCCTGCCTTGCAGAGCCCACAGCAGCCAGGAGGAGTGTAGGCACCTGAAGGTCACAGGCGCTCAGTGACGCCACATTGATCAGGACACAGGCTGCACCTGCAGCCAGGCCTCAGGAACACACGCCCCGCGATCATGTCCGACCCCTGGAGACTTCTGAGGTGAAGCCACTTCCCAAGGTACTTACTTCTGTGGCTACATTCTGATTAGCTCCATTCTCCAGTAGGAACTTCACCACTTCCAAGTGATTCTCTTGTGCTGCCATGTACAGGGGTGTGAAGCCTTTCTGTAAGCCAAGGGAAAAGTCATTGCACCCCACCCACCACAGTGAGAGATGCTAAAACCAGTGCCAAAGTCTCTGGTTTTGCACTGGGTTAGCAAATTAAATTGAGGACAGGGCTCTCACTCCCTGTTTTCACCTAGCCCACAGGGCAATATCCCCTCTGTCTCTCCACGCCTAAAAACTCATTGCCCTTTGAAATGGCCCATTGGGATGATTATAAAGGACCACAAGGTGGGGGCGACACTCCATGGAAGTCTGTATCTGACCTTCATCTCCCTCAATCAGCCTCTCCCACACACTTCGCCTCTATTTTCACATGTCCCAGACCCCTACACAGCTTCTCTCCCCAAATGGGTCACCACTAAATATACTATCTGGCAGGTTGACTGAACAGACACGAGGCCCACCATGACCAACCACATCATGCTTAGAATGCGTAGAAGTGTAAAAAAAAAAATACTAAAGTTGCCTTCTTCGTTGCTTGGAGACATATCACTAGCAAAATCTAGACTCGGCTGTGCAGCGTGTGCAGGCCAGTAGCCAATGTGCCTGCGGTGTAACAGACACACAGGGGAAGAGGGAACGAGCGCCCTCTAGCGCAGGGACCGGGGAGAGCCACACCTGGGACTGGGCGTTGACATTGGCGCCGTAATTGACCAGCTCCCGGACCACCTCGTCCTGACCAGCGAGGGCGGCGATGTGCAGAGCCGTGTTCCCTTTCTGAAACACACGGGGAGGGAGAAGAGGGGGTTTCCCACCACATCTTCACATGTGGCTGGGTTTTTTTGTTGTTGTTGTTTGTTTGTTTTTTAAATATATTTTATTGATTTTTTACAGAGAGGAAGAGAGAGGATTAGAGAGTTAGAAACATTGATGAGAGAGAATCATCAATCAGCTGCCTCTTGCACACCCCCTACTGGGGATGTGCCCGCAACCAAGATACAGGCCTTTGACCGGAATCAAACCTGGGACCTTTCAGTCCGCAGGCCGACGCTCTATCCACTGAGCCAAACCGGTTTCGGCAATATGTGAATATTAAAGGTACAGGAACGTGGATACTGTTTGGGGGTGCACAGTGGCTTTCTTGAAGGTCAAAGGGGGCAGACAACACCCCTGACCCACCATCCATCCTGCGATAGTGCTGAAAGCACAAGAGGGACATTCCTGCTGTTCTCTGTGAAAAACTAATGCCAAAGAATAAGAAAGCCAACTTCTTCTCAACACTGATGGGCTGCGGGCAGGTGCAGCGTCTTGTCCCCTGCTCTCAGCCAGCTTTTGCAGGACCCACCCCGAGCTGTGCCAGGCTCGCAGCCTCCTCTGGACTTCCAGCGCCTCCCGGCCTGTGCCTGCAGGACAGGGGGCTCTGCCGAAAAGGAGGCCAGAAGATCCTATCGGCTCAGCGCCCCGGATGCTGTGGCCGACCAAGCGAAAGCTGGACTCACGCGGACAGAGGGAGTGAGAGAGGAAGAGAGGGAGTAAAGTATCAAACAGAATAAAAGAGGGAGAAATACCTAAAGGAGTTGGGGGATAGTAAAATAAACCATATCATGGGAAAGAAGAAAAACATGAAATCCATGGGGCGGGGGGGGGGGGGAATAGAAAAAAAAAAAAAAACCTGACAAAGGAAAATACAAAAAAAAATTACTTGAAACGTTCATAAGTACATGTTATGAACAAGCGTTCACCAAATCAGAGAGAAAAGCTGGAATGAATAGACAGTAGAAGAAAGCGAGATGCACAGTGGTTTTAATGTCAGCTTTTTAAAAGCTAAGAACCCACAGCCGAGTCTAAGAAACCAGTGGGGTTCTGAGGAGGCAAGAGGAACACCCAGGTTTTCTGGTCGGGACTCCTGCAGGTATTTCACAGGAATTCCTGGACGGACGGCCTTCGGGTTCCAGGATGCCAGCCTCCCTGCCCGGCTCCTTCCTGCCTGGATGTCCTGGGACTGGAGCGTCAGCGCTCTCTCTGAGGATGACTCACCTATGTGTCCCCACTGGCACCCACGCTCAGAGAGAGGCAGGCAGGACAGGCCCCGCCTGACAACCTCTGTCAAATAGGGAGGGGTTGGGGGAAGGGAGATGGGACAGCTGGACCCTTCTGTCCCTCCACTACTTAGGAGCAGAGATCTCAAACGACCTATTTTTTCTTGGTTCAGGTGGTGTCGAGTTTTTAACGATGCTAGGCTGTCCGTCTCAGGAAACTCATGCCCCTATAAGCCGGGACTTCAGACCACTGCATGCACTTTGGCCGTCCGTCTCCTGGGAGAGAAGCGTCCTCGTCTGGGTGGGACTGAGCAGCAGGGGGCCTAAGCTCTGTGGCCACCCAGTCTCCGCTGCCACAAGCGCCCCCAGGTGGGGGAGGCGGCCCCACTAGGTGCCCTGGGGCTGGGGAGGGCTCAGATCTTTCCTCTGACCCGTGCCCTGCACCAGGCAGGAGGCTGCTGCTTGGTGCTCCCCAAACTTGTCTTTCTGCTGTCTCCTTAAGTCTCATTTGACAAACAAGGGCGTTCTTCCTCAGATAGCCATCAGAGAGTCAGTGCCAGAAGCGACTGTTTAGGTGCTAATGAATCCTATTTCATAGAAGGCCACAGAGCCCATGCTTAGAGGCCCTGGCACTTGGGTCTGACATGCTCGCTGTACGAAGTGGGGCAGGACCGCTGGCACCAGGACCTCCTCTAGAAGCCAGGCTTCCGAAGTCCAAGCCTCCCCTTCAGAGGAAGGAGGCGCATTCGCTGGGCACTGGCTGGGCACGTGTGTGGTCAGGCATGGAGGGGCAGAGATCACTGCGTCTCGGGCTCCTCGCCCTCAGGACGCTGTGTGGAAAGTTTCCTTCCCCTGGCCCTTCCTACCAGAAATTATTCTACCCCAGAGCTGCCCGCCTACACCGTGAAGGGAAGCTGGTTAGACGGGGACCCTGGCTGTGGACCTGGGCCCACATCATCTTTGAGATTGGGGCTGAGGGCAGCACTGGTGACAAATAAAAGCTGAGGGAAGCTGAAACCGGTTTGGCTCAGTGGATAGAGCGTCGGCCTGTGGACTGAAAGGTCCCAGGTTCGATTCCTGTCAAGGGCATGTACCTTGGTTGCAGGCACATCCCCAGTAGAGGGTGGGCAGCTGGTCGATGATTCTCTCTCATCGATAGTTCTATCTCTCTCTTTTCCTCCCTGTAAAAAATCAATAATATATATATATTTTTAAAAGCCGAGGGAAGACCCTGGGAAGCAGCCACTTCCCCCGCCCCCATCTGTGCACACACAGTGAGGCTCAAGAAGGCCCCTGGCCCTGGGTCAGGAGTCACGGGGGGAGGGGGGAAGCTCTGTGTCCCCTACCCCTCCCTCATATGAAGGAGCACACCCCTGAGGAGCAGGAAGGAGGGCTCAGCTACACCTGCCCCACCCAGACCACCGTCGCCATGACCAGGGCGTCCGGGAGCCCGGGGACGGAGGTGGCCCAGGCGGCGAGGGTGGGTGAGGGGACCGATAGCGCTGCTCCCGTGCGCCTCCAGCCCAGATGCCGAGCTCCGGCCTCAGAGCGGGGTGGGTGGCAGGATGCGGGGAGAATGCATTTGTCTTGTGTTTTTACAATTCCTAAGTCCGGTTTAGAAAACTGTATCGGTTTTAGCTTTTTATTCTTTTCTAAGCCTTTCCCGGGCTTGCGAGGCCCGTGACAATCCCGCGATCTGCACGACTGTCTCAGCCCACGGTTTCAGTTTCACCTTTCTCCCCCGCTCCCTCCGGATGGCATTCGGAAACCACGCTGACTGATACTGTTTCTATAAATAACAAAGACACGCCGCCGAGGGTTCGCTTGCAAAATAACAAATAAAGGGGGGAAATTCGCAAAGAGCAGAAGTGCTGAAGCACAGTGTTTCCGCAGCTCCTGGGGGGATGCCAGGGAAAGCAGGCAGCTCCGGCCCACGCAGATGGCACGCTGCTGGCAGCCAGGTGAGCGAGAACGTGGGAGAGAGCACAGTTGCCCCCCTCCCCCCAGCAGGAGCAGGGCAGACACAGTGGGTGTGTGTCGTGGTCTTAGAGCAAAGTGCCCGCACACATTCAGGAAGAGCAGCTGTGTCTGTTTCACCTGTGAGATCTTCCCGCCTCCGGGAAGTGACATGAAAATTGCAGAATTTTATCTCGAGAGATGATTCTACCTTCATAATATTTTGGGTAGTTCACTTCCTAACCACAAATTATATCTGTTCTCCACACAGCGCTCCTCTGAGTCTCTGCTGGAGAGGCGGCAGAGCGTTTGCTGCGTGGGACTGAAATGGAGGCCGATGTGAGGCCACACTGGATCAATAGCAGGTGGAAGACAAGAGGCTGGAGGGGGAAGCCCGAGAGAAAAACCACGAGAAACGACAGAGGAAGGAAGGGAAGAGGAAGCAGGACTCGAGTTAGTGAATCGGAGGCAATTTTTTTTTTTTTGCTTAGTTTCTTGTTTCCATGCTGGCTGCATCCTGCTTACTGAACAGCAATGATGTATGGATAGAAGAAATAAAACCGAGTTTGCAACCTGTAGATGCATTCGTCTCATGACTTTGGTTTCTGGACGGAAGCCACCGGTGTTTATAATCGATGGCTACGGAGAAGAGCAGACGCTGGGAGAGGTGTGATTCAGCCCCGGTCCGGTGCCTCCCGTTAAGAGAGAAGGCTGTGTGTCAGGAGAGGAGACAGCCTGGGGCTGACAGACGGACGAAGACTTGCTGAAGGAGGGTAGGCGAGAGGGATCTGGACCCTTCAGCAGCCCTCAGGGCCAGGTATTTTGTAGACTATGCTATCTCATTTCATTCTCATGCCAACCCTGCACCTGAGCATTATACTCTCCATTTTACAATGAGGAAACGGAGGCTTTTCACGGACTAGGTTGCTCAAGGTCACAGAGTAGGAAATATCTCAGGATGCAGACCCAGGGCACTTGACTGTGGGGCTCACAGTGCCCTCAGTGCCCATATTCGATCTAAGGACCCTGAGGAAGCATGAAGCGACCAGAGCATGGGGTTTACTTGTAGTTTGATAGTCTAAGATCCGGATAAAGTAAAGGCCGCCTGAACCTTTGCAGAAACAGGGGCCTGTAACTTCAGGGACTCACAGAACCGGGAAATGATTGGGAAGACGAGAACATCAGAAGGATGCAAACATAGGCTCAGGAAGGGCTGTTTTCCACGCCAAGGTTTCGGACAACACCTGAAGGACCCACACATTTGAATTGTCCATGTAAAGCTTCCTCCTCCTCCCCCCCCCCGCCCCCCAAGAGACGTACCTTGGTTGTGGTTTCTAGAATGATCTCTTTGTGCAGAAGTTCAACCACCATCTTCACATGGCCTTCTTTCGAGGCCAGGTGCAAGCCGTTCAGCCCATTCTGTAAAGAGCAGAGAGGCAGGGAGGGTGTGGTGAGTGGGACTGTGCATCCTGCATGTCCTGCTTCCTTTCGAAGGGCAGAAGGGGAGAGCTGGAGGGGCCCAGAGTGGTATCAGCTTAGGCCACGCAGGGCCGGGCCAGCCTCTGCGAGCAGCTCTTCTGTAAGAGCATCAGATAACAGGGGAGCAGGGAAAGAGGGGATAACAACAAGACCACCACCCCCTCAATATGAATTGAGTGTGGGAAACTCTCACAAAGCCAATGGATGACCTTGAAATCCAGATCTTGCCCAGGCTTTAGGCATCCACTTAATGGAAACGTATAACCTCAACCCCCTCGTTCATTCATTGTCACAGCAGCAACCAGAAAAAAAAAAAAAGAGGCAATACCAGTGCACCCTAAACATGAGTAAAGCTAGATGCTCATTTAATAAAATAATATATTTTGAAAGAAGGTCCTAGGAAAACTAAATGCCACCAACCAACGACCTCAAAAAAAGAATTAGTATGAAAATCACTTCTTTGCCACCTTGCCATTCAAACATGACCAAAGCTGGCAGTTACATTGTAGGGAAAAGAAAAAAAGGGAGCAACCGTTTTCCATGTCCAATCACCAGGCCACCAGGAGCTCTCCGGAGCCAAGGAAAGTTTCAGCTCTCCCTGGGGAAGCTGCTTTTGCGCCTGGAGAAAGCAGCCTGGCCCACGTGCTCCTATCCCTCTCCCGCTTCCTGGTCTTCAGAGACCTGCCCTTCGATGCTTCCAAACTTTCTGGCAAAAGCTGACTTCAAAGAGCGCTGCTTAGAGCCACAGATTATCCTGACAACATGACGGAACTAATTCCAGGGCACTAAATTTCATTTCCAACGGATGAGTAGATCTTGGCTCCACAGAGAAAACGGTTTTAGTCATGAAGCAATCTCTATCCTGACATTTGTGTCTTGCCCCTCTCCTGCTCCTTCCCAATCAACAATTCTCACCTCTTCTCCCATCCCTCCTTCCTGCTCTTGTTTTGGTCAACTATGTTCTAGCATGTTCCTTTCCCAGAAGACAGAGCCTGGCCACCATGGTGTAACTTGAGGGGTCCCTTACTCATCTATCTTCAAATATCTCCATAGCCCCATCACGGGTTCCTAAAACTACTATTCTCCCTTTGTGTCAGGGCGTCATTTCCAGGAGATTCCTGTTAAAACCAAATATTCTAGCCGAAACCGGTTTGGCTCAGTGGATAGAGCGTCGGTCTGCGAAGGGTTCCAGGTTCCATTCCGGTCAAGGGCATGTACCATGGTTGCGAGCACATCCCCAGTCCAGTAGAGGGTGTGTAGGAGGCAGCTGATCGATGTTTCTCTCTCATCAATGTTTCTAACTCTCTATCCCTCTCTCTTCCTCTCTGTAAAAAATCAATAAAAAAAATTTTTTTTAAACTAACAAAAAACAAATATTCTACCTGGGGATGGTAGTGAACTGGCCCTTCACAAATTAGTCCCATTGCTTTGCTAAAACCAGCAGAGGAAAGGAATGAGGAATTGCTGAAGCAGAGACCAGCACAGGTGCCCCGTGATGGGAGAATGGAAGGTGTTTGCAGATCTCTTTGCCTCGGATCCTCAGACAGGGTAGCCAGAACAGGTGCCCTGGATGCCAACAAGAAGAGTGGGCTCCGAAGGGAACTTCACCTACTTCCTTTTCAGATCAGACTCTACCCGCAGGGGGCCAAATCTTTTTGCACATCAGCAGGGCCAGCCGCACCAAGGCGTGTGGGGGTGAGGAGCAAGAGGTGGGGGTGGGTGATGGGAAGACGCCTTCACCTAATAGCTCCCCCTGCAAATGGGATTTCCTCCTCTTGGAGATTCCAAACACCATTAAACACAGGGTCCAAATCGGTGTGAATTATTCACACCCCAGTGAGAATACGCTTATCAGATAAAGTCTAGGTTAAAGCCAGTTTTGATAACAGAAAGGGAGAAAGTGATTGTAGGCAAGACAGCAATCTGTTAGGACAGGAATCTGGGGAAGCGGGGAGACCATTGGGCTGAAGGAAGCCAGTTCCTCTCAAAGCAATTCGCAAAACACAAATTCACTGAAAAGCAATTTGTCAAGTGACTCTGCTCTGGACGCCACTTCTCCAGCTCTGTGTCCTTAACTAGCTCGCCGCCACCGCCACCACCACCAGCATCCCCCCCACACACACACCCCCCTCCACTCTCCCACCTCCCACCCCTCACGCAGGTCTGCACTGGAGTTTCTCCCTTTCCGCATACTGCGATCTGCAAAGCGCCTTATCTAGCCGGTTCTGCGCTGAGCACAGCATTCTGTGATTACGTGGGACCTGGGGTAGCATTTTTTTTTTAGCTGCAGGAGCTTGGGCAGCTGCTGCAGGGGCTTATCGCAGGGAGCAGCCAGTGTGGCGGGTGGGTGTTGACGGCGGGGGGTGGGGTGGGGTGAGTGGGGTGGGTGGGAGAATTCTCATGCTCACTTGCACAGCACAATTGTTTTCCATGAGCATTCTTGGTCGTAAATGCCTCAAAGGAGGCAGACTGGCAAATCTAGAAGGAAAGCACCTCCGGCTTACTGCTACTGCTCCGGGAGGCTGGCCCTGGCGTCTGGAGCCAGTGTCAGGATCTCACTCAGAGGGGATTCTAGACAGACTGTCTATGCAGAGCATGGGAAGGGATATTAGAGGCCCTGGATGCTGGGAAATCAAAGACCAGATTAGTCAAATGATGAGCTAAGGACACACAGCCTTTCTAGGGCACAGCCACACATAGAACCAAGCTGGATTTCCCAGGAAAAAAGAGGGTTGGGGTTCCCCTCCAGGTTGGGGGTCCCTCCCCAGGAACAGGCATGTTTCTTTTTATCAGATGATGAAAGCGTGTTTCCCCCTTTTTATTACCAGGCAGCTGCATCTCTCATAGTTTCACTCAGCTCCCATCCGGTCCTGGCTCAATGTTCTTTCTTCTTTATGGTTTTAAATTTTTTCTCACTTTATTTTATGTGTTTGTTTTCAACAGAGTTACCCTCCGTTACTTTCAAGTCTGACGGTGGTGAATCCAACGCCCTCATCACCTGGGCCCAGCTATGACAGGTGTGTCAGGCCCAGGGATTCGGTGCGGACAGTCCCACAGGAGCACCGTTCCGACAAACATCTGTCTCAACTACAGTGTAGTCACAGCAGTCACCTCATGCAGAGCACTTCCTCAGTCTGATTCATGAAGCAAATGTTTGCTGAGAATCTGCTCTGTGCCTGGCACCAGGCTAGAGATGAATAAAACACGAACCCTTAGCTTTAAAGAACTCACTTTGGCGGAGGAAACAGATGCATTAAAAAAATAAATGCGAAGCCATGTGAACATGCCCCAGACGGCCTGCGTAAGCCTGGAAGTCGCACGGAGGAGAAAGAAGCTGCTCTGTCAAGGAGCTGGAGAAAGCTTCGCGGAGGCTGTAGGAGGCCGCGTCTACACAGCCGGGGCTGCAAGGCCATTAACAGTGGCATCACGCAAAGCCGTGCCCGAGTTTAGATTCTAAACCCAACGGGTAAAATTTTAGAAACCATGCTCCCAGCCTCGCCAAGTGCCTTCCTCTTTCTTCCAGGAAGCATCTGAATTCAAGGGAATGCTCAGCTCCCAACCTACTGTAGTGAGTTTTCTCCAGCAACGGGTCTCAGCGGGAAGCTGGCTGGCCACCAACCAGTGGCCGACACCACAGAATGCCTGAAAGCTAACACACTGCACACGTATACAGAGGAGCTGGTACAGTTATCTTATTAGATGCATAGCTGGTCTATACAGGAGATCATCTATGGTACCAAAGGAATGTTTCATGGATAAATACTGTATTTAATACTTTATTTTTTAAATCTATTTTTTTATTGCTAAAATAAGAAGGGGGAGAGGAGAACAAGCTCTGTGAGCTATTTGCTCTTAGCTGTAACTATAAAAAGAAGGTGAACTATAATGTGCCACCCCTTCAAAGCCAGGATCCAAGTGTCTTGTTTTAGTTAAATTAAGTTGTTTTTTGTTAAAAGGCAGGCTTGCTGAGTCTTGCTTTGTATCTTTTCATCTATGCTATACACTAGTAACCTTCTCAGCCATTCCTCTTGATACCAAATGGCAGACAGGGGGCATGGAACCACACATATCTTCCCCTAATAATTGGAGGATAAGCAAGAAGGAGGTAGAGGAATATGCGAGTAAATACTTCAGCTAAATTGGAAGCAGGGGAGCAAAGTGAAAATTACTTGTGGCCATTTTTTAACCACATGCCTTTCTCAGAAAAACACTAGCTTGTCAGATTCCTCTTCCTAAAGATGCCTCCTTCTGGGTCTCCAATTACAGCTATTAGACTAGCTCATAGTGTCCCACAGTTCTTGGCTGCTCTGTTCTACTTTTCTTTCCCCACTCTTTTTATATATTTTGTTTCAATTTTGATCATTTCTGTTGACTTATTTTCAAATTCTTTGATTCTTTCCTCAGCTATGAGCTTTTGAAGAAATTCCTCATCACCGAGAAAGTGGTTTTATTTTAGCTCTAGCAACTTGTTTGACTCTTTCTTATAGTTTTTATTTCTCTTCTGAAATTCCCCATCTGTTCATGAATGTTGTCCACTTTCCTCATTATATCCTTTAACATATTAATCACAGTTATTTTAAAGTCCATCTCATAGTTCCAATATCTAGATCGTCTCTGAGCCTGGTTCTATGGATTGTTTTGTCTCTTGACAATACTTTTTTTTTTCTTATGAGTGTGTTGTAATTTTTAATTGCATGCCAAACATTATGTGTAGAAAGAGCGATAGACACTGAAGTAAATGGCATTCTCGCATAGAAATGCCTCTTCTTTTGTGAAGTTTTAGTATAGCAGGGTGGGGGGGTTAGAGGTGAGGGAGCTGAATCAATCTAATTAAGAGTTGACCTTGGTCTGGGTTTTATTACCTTTAGTATACCACAGTCTTCAAGTTCCTCTAGAATTCCTGTCTAGAGGTAGGCTGCTGTTACCTTGAGCTTAGAGGA